TGGTGGGCTCTATAAAAAGTGTTGGTGGGCTGGATTTGGCCTGTGGGCTGTAGTTTGCTGATCTCTGATCTAGAGAATTGTTCTTTTGCCCCTACTGGGGACCTGGCCTGCAACCTAGGCATGTGCCCTGACTGGGAATTGAACCAGCAACCTTTCATTTTGTGGGGTGATGCCCAACCCACTGAGCCACACCTGTTAGGATGCAAGCATTATTTTAAGCTCTATATGCATATTGACTCATTTAATCCTTACAGTTCTAGAAGGTCGGTAGTATTATCCCATTTTACAGATGGGAAGTCTTAGATACAGAGAAGTAAAAGAGCCTGTCCATTATCACGCAGCAATAGTCAGAGCCTGGATACAGTAAATCACCAAGTTGGGCCCAGCGCTCTCACTCAATCTGATACATTGTGGCTCTTCTGGGTAGAACATCTCACTTCCTGTGGTGAAGACATATTTTCACAGGCATCCACATGGAGGATTTTTGTCACGCCAGCTCCATTAAGCATGTGAACAAAAAGTTCCAGCATGTTTCCAGTAATGTTTCCATTTGAAGGCAAGGGGACAGATGGCACTGTCTTATTTAGTAAGGAAGTCACTGTCATCAAAGGTGTTTGAACAGAGGTGGGATGACTTCTGCCTTCTTGCAATTCCTTAGAAAGATTTTGGCTATTTTTTATAAAATAAAAAGTATAAAGGAGAGGACGGTCTGCACCCCTCCCCACCGCCCACTCGGGCACAATCTCATTACGCTCACAGGGCCTGGGAGTGTGAAAGGCCAGACCTGCCGGCAGGAGGTTTGTGCCTCAGACGGCTGTGGCCTGTTGCTATGAGAACTGAGCGAATCTGCCTCAGCCTCACCCATCACACACACACACACACACACACACCCCCCACACACACACACACACCACACAACACACACACACCCCCATTCTTCCTGTCTCTGGCTTCTAACCTTTCTTCCTAGCTGAAAACTATTTGCAAGCAGTATTAGGGAAGAATTATTTAATTATTTATTATGTTGAATGAACAGTCACATAAGAGTAGTGATATAGAAAGGTTAGATCTCCAGGATAAATGACTTTTTTTTTTTTTTTAAAAGCAAGTATAGCACAAAATATATTGTGCTCCTGCTTGTGTAAAAAAAAAATATGATAGTGTGGACTTCTGAAGAACGAGGTGGGGATCTGGGGTGGGAGGTTACAGTTTTCCTAGTGAAGTCTAAAAACTTATTTGAATTTTTACATTTTGATTCTTACCCCAAGTATCCGTACATGTGTATTCTTCAACTTCACACCTTTCTTCCTCATGTCAAAGTCTACCCAAGCCTGAAACTCTTTTTTTACTTGAATCTCTTTTGACTACGTCCATAACCACACACATTGTACAAATAAAGTAACTTCCTCCGGGTCTCTCCTTACACCTCCAGTAGTGATGGAGGGAGAGCACATACATCGATATTGCTGTTTACCAGTGGATTGAATGGTGTGGTCCCCCCAAATAATGTTTGTGTCCTCCTTTTCCCTGGAACCTGTGAATATTACCTCATATGGTAAAGGATGTAATTATCTTGAGAAGAGGAGCTTATTCTCATGGGCCCTAAATTCAGTCAGAAGTATCGTTATAAGAGAGAGGCAAAGAGAGTTTTGAGAGAGAAGAGGGGGAAGCAGTGTAACCGTGGAGGCAGAAGTTGGGGTGATGTGCAAGCCAAGGAAAGCCTGCAGCCTCAGAAGCTGGAAGAGGCGAGGAATGGATTCTCCCCTAGAGCCTCTGGGCGGAGCGCAGTCCTGCTGACACCTGGATTTCAGACTTCTGGCCTCCAGAACTGTGAGGAAATCCATTTCTCTTGGTTAAAGCCACTCGGCTTCTTGTAACTTGTTACAGCAGCCCTTGGAAATTAGTACAGGGGAAAAAAGGTGCAACTAATAGCTAAAGTTAAGTTTGTAGATTCCATAAATGCTCATGGTTGTTCTGGCCTAAATGATACCATAAGTTGACTGTACCGAGGTGCTTAATTCCGCAGTCGACACTTAGTTGTTATTATAGAAACTAGAAGTCATAGGTTCTTGTCAGTGAACATGTTAGGGGCTGGAAAAGCGCCTGGGAGATGCTTTTAAAGCAGTTCTCACAGTGGACGGAGATTGGCCTAGATGACCTCAGATCCCTTTCAATTTAAGAATATACTCCCAGAGAAAATTTTGCTTCCAAATATTGAGGCTCACCAATTTAAGGATATTAGACTAGCCAAACGTTTAGAAAACACATTCACCTGGAAAAGATGTTTGAAGGTGTAAGGTACTCAGGACTTAACCTTCCGTAAACTTTCCAGACCAGGAATCTTGAAGGAATACCAGGTCACTTTCCACTACTGAAAATTCACTAGTGGAAAAATAAGTAAAATAAGGTAACTCATGTGTTTTCCAAAAATTACCAATTAGGACTTACGCCAACATTTCTAAAAGTGTCGGCGTGTTGTCGCCAATATAAACAGAGCTTTGATCTCTCCCTTTGTTCTGCCCTATGGGAGACATTACACATTTCCTCATATTGTTAAATTGCCAACTCATTAATAGCTCAGTGTTGAGATCATAAAGGAGGTAAATTATTCTCTTCACTACCACTATAATCTTTTTTTTTAATGGGCTCACCTTTTAGAAAGTTTGTTTTCCATCATCCTTGTTTCCATTCTGTTTAAGAGTCTGTGGAAGAACAGCTTAAGACGACTCAGTGACTATTCCTACCCATCCAGGGGCCTGCGCACTGGGGATCGCAGACCAGTCTCCAGCGGCAGGCCGAGCGCCACTTGTGTTCAGTAGGAAACTGCCCAACAGACACGGAGGGCGCCTGCGCCTTCAGACGTGGCTGTGACCTCCGGCTGCGCAGCGGTGAACTCGGGAGCCGGAGCCGTCCATTCCCCCTGAAATTCCTCCTTGGTCACGCAGCCTTTTCAGCAGCCGCCTGCTCTTCCTTTTCAATTTCTTCAGGATCTCTGGAGAAGTAGAAAGCAGACACGACCTCTCATGGGTGTTCACAGATGGTGCTACGCATGTGCAGTACTTCCCAGGCCGGCATCCACATCAGACCCACTGAGTAATTCCCATTTGTTGCAAGAAATGCTAATGTCCACATAGCGCAGAGTCTGTGTCACACAGAGCAGTGGTGGGCAGGCTAACATAAGGGGCCACAGTGAGAGGCTGGTGGTCGGCCCTCAGCTCAGTAACCACCATCAATAAGTCTTAGCCCCCAGAAGCCTGGATCTGGTCAGTGGAGGTGCCAGGAGTGAAGAGGTCCGCAGTGGGGGCGGGGGGGGGGGGGCTCCAGCAGCAGACGCCAGCTTCCTGCACGGCTTGCTGGGCAGTGTTCCTGGACCATATGACTCTGCCACTGGCGAGGTTTTCAATGGCAGCAAGGGCACGAGCTGCCAGCAGAAGCTTCTCCCAGGTTCTCTTCAGATTTATGATGTAGATGCCATCACTTTTCCTTTTGTGATGACCTGCTCCATTTGGAAGTCAAGATCGGTGCCTCCTAAGTGGGTTCCTGCTGCAAGGAATTTGAGGATATCCTCCTCCTCCAAGTACAGGCCAAAAAGGACTCTGGACATGGTGAAAGTTTCCCTTCGTTATGTGCGAGAACAACGCTGTGAAGCCCCTCTCTGGGTAGTGCGGAAAGCTGCTAGTATGTACATTTTCTTTGGTAAAGGAAATGAGAAGGCAGGGGAGGCCCAACGGAAGACAGTGGTTATAATATATAATTACATCGTGCCATAGCCATATTTACTCTGAAAGTTTTGATGTCTCTCATGTTGAAAAGCATCATACAAAAATGATTTTACATACTTTACAAAATATGTATTTAAATATGTATTAAACACATGTAAGGTAGTATTAGCTGCTATAGAACCTGCTGGTATTTTATAAATGTTTATAGCTAAGTTTTATATTTTGTAAAATGTTATTTTGTTACCGAAAACATTCTCATCACACTAATAAAGAAAAATCTAGGCAGAACAGGTGGTTAATTGGCTATGTCCAGTATTTCTGAAGTAGTGGCTGGATTTTCTTAGCCTCTGAAAATCACCCTGAACACACACTTAACACCGGAATTCCCAGAGTTCCAAGAGCCTGGATGTTAAGGTGGTTACTTAGCTTGGTAATTATAGCATTGATGAGATCAAGGTCATGAATTTGATTATTGTATGAACCAGCATCATTTTTATGAACCTCAGCTACATTCTTAATCTCAGCTAGCTTTATTGTAAATATGGGTCATCTCAAGAAGGACTAGAGGAAAGAATTAAAACTCTCCACAACTACTTGAGGGAGAAACAAAACACTTGTCTGTAGGATTATCTTTATGTAAGTGACTACTGTCAGACAGAGGAGCTGGGGAGAGCTGTGGGTTGAGGGAAGTCAGGAACGCCAAAACCGAAAATATCAGTATGAAGCCCTGAAATGGGTGGTTTCAAAATCTCACTGAAAATCTGTCAAAATTCTTAAGAACATCTAAGGAAGTCCCACCACCAGTCTTAAGAGGTCCCTGGAGGCCGCAGTGACTCTGTGCCAATGGCAGTCTGGTTGCAGCTGGTTCCCTGGAGGTGAAGTGTGCCTCTCTGGCCCGATGGCTGGCTCGTCCATGTGAACTGCTTTAGGCCAATGGAATATGGGCAATTTGACTCATGCCACATCCAAGCAGGGGCTTTAAATGTGTTTGCATGGTATGGTTTGGTCTCTTGCTCCCGCCCTTTACTGAGAACAGCATGCCACAGGGAGGGGCTGTTCCACCCACCTGGTGCCAGGAGATGTGCGGGGCACAGCCGGTCTAGTGGAGTCGGGCGGAGCTACAGTTGATCCCCGGACCCACGAACAAGAAATAAAGGTTTGTCATAAGATGTCTCCAGATTTTATATACCCATCCTCTTCAATTATATTCGTCCTTTCTATACCTAATATGTCTCTAAGATTCTCTTGTGCTGAAGAATTTAAAGGCCAGTTTCTAGCTCCAGTTCAATTTTCTTTTTATTAAAGTGCTTCAGTAAATAAAGTGTTATCAACAATCAACACAAACTTTCCTGACATACAAATAAAAATCCTCTACTTAATGAATCACTCGAACAATATTCTTCTATGAAGTAACAGTGATTGCCATTGGAAGGTGACCAATCTGAATTTATTCCTAACCACACACATGGGTTCTCAAATGGGGATATTCAGTCTTAACCTATGGGGCTGACTGTCAACACCTGAATAGTAGTTCCAGCGAGTCAGTGGAAAAATGATGTGATTTGAAACTAATCACTTATCCTTGGTGCTGCAATTTCTCCATCTGCACTGAGGATTAATCTTCCCTTAGAGAAGATTAGTAAGAAACTATGAAATGTTAAGGTTTTTCGTACTTCCAGGCCTCAGAAAGCATTCACGTGCATATTTCTAAAAGGTCAACTTATTTGTTCTTGACATAAATTAAATACTATATGGCTTTAAAAGAAATAGATTAATGACTGCTCTTTCCTTGAAAGTTATCTTTTTACTTAAATCACATTAAGATTATAGATTAATAGCATTCATACATGATATGCTCAGTAAACTTTGATAAAATTTATAAATTATTTTAAGAAATTTCTTCTATTACATATTTACATGACCTTTCCATAAAAACAGAAATCCCTGCTACCCTAAATGCACAAAGAGGTGGAACCCAAGTTTTCATTAGTTTTGATATAGTTCCTCTGGATATGGCTTGTAACTTAATCATGACTTCCACACGATACCACGGTTGACAAAGGACAGAGTATAAGTACACCAATTTTGAATATACCTTCTGGCATAATTAAAGTGGCTTGTTGCAGTCAGAAAAACAATCCAGTAGTGTCTACACTGGGGGTGGGGGACTTAAAATTATAAAAGCTTGAAAATATAGATGACAATTGTGGGAACAGAAGAGAAATGAAATAATTCTGACTGAATCAGAAACTTTTCTAAAACCCTTGTTTCTGGGGGGAAGTATGTGATTCTGCTATAAAAGAAGTTTAAAGAGGTTAGTGCATCAACTCATACTTTCAAAGAAATCTGCAATACTTTTAGGTGGAAATAGTATTGCTAAATTTTTGCATGCCACTCTGAAACCAGTAACAAAGAAAATTAATCATTAATCAACATAGGAGCAGAAAAATGGTCAGCTATCTTGTTCAATAATCGATCATGAACACAAATGGACACACCATTATCAATAAATAAAACCATCTGTAGCTAACTGGTCATTTAAAAAATAAGTTGGATGAAAATAATGATTTTCTGCAGTAGTACTCAGTCATTTTAAGACGAAGGTAGTTTCAGAAAAAACATGGAACCACCTTAGGGTATGCCTGACCATTTCACACTGGTTGTGGCAGGACACTCCGTGCCCTGCACTGAGGATGCAAGGAAATCACTTTCACACTGAACATACACCTCCGAGGGACTAAAGGAAGAACACTTTCTAACACGCGCCTTTCTCTAACATGCAGTATTTAGGTAACAGTAAATCATCATTTTTCACAAAGAAGATGCAGATGCTCCAAAATCATCTTAGAGCTAATGATTGTAGAAAGAGGTGTCAAAATTTTAAATTTAAAATATGGACTTAATTTCAAAGTTGGTTTTGCCAAATCTCTGCTTAAGTCCTAGGAATCCAGGGGAAGCAAGATGTCCTCCCTCTTCTGTGACATGCACCTCCCACGACTGTGATGAATGCCACGGGCCAAATGCCATCATAAACTCGTTTGCACTCCTGGGGCCAGTAAAGCCGAGGCTAGTTCCAGGGAACACTCAAGCAAGGGGCAGTCCCATGAAAGAGCCTGTCAAAGACCAGCAAGAGATTTCCAAGGCCACCCGGCACCCAAATGACCCGAGTAAGTTCATCATTTCTTGGGGACTCAGGATCCTATCCTTGCAGTATCTCTGGGTACAATAGCCCCCAGAATGCCCTTGGACTGGGCCAGCTCTCCCCTGGACAAGCACTTCTGGAGCTGGAAACAGAGGCTGAATGAGCAGGGTAGGCAGAGCACCATTTATTGGAGCCAACCCCCATCTATCAGACGGTTTGTTGACAAGAGCTTAGTGATTCTGGAGCAGCTCTTCCCAACAGATGGGCTGTGAAAACACCTCTCTTTCCAGCCAGATCTCATATGAATAGTGGAAATCCTCAGGCAGATCCAGCCTCTGCCCCAGCACACTCTGCAAGCAGTTATCCACAGGTGAAAATTCAGAGTCCTGAGGTCTGTCATATCGGCGGCTATTAAAAGCCTCAATGTTGGCTCTCAAGGTGCATTCCTCTGCTTGGAAGTCCCACGGCCTAGCATCGATGTCTGTGATGGGAAGAGAGAAACAGACCAAGTACACAGTTCAAGACGCGGTTCTCCTTAACACACAGCATGAGCTGAAATAATTTTAGGGCTGTATAAATGTAACTACTCCTTAACTGTTAAGGAGTTGAAATTACATTCGGCCTTTGGAAGGCAACCTCGAGGCCCATGTGGCCCCCGGTGAAAATGAGTTTGACACCCCTGGCCTATAGGGTACCAACAATGGAATGGCTCAGAACTTCCTTTTCTGTAAAAAGCAATGTAAAAAGTAAATAACATTCTGCCACTCGGGTTTAAAAAATACACACGTGCCCACACACATAAACTTACACACACAGACTGTCCTTAGGAGGGTGGTCTAGAAACTGATAAGTGATCACCACTGAGAAGGAAATGAGGGTCCCGAGGGAGGCAGGCTTCTTTTATTCTATTTCCTTTTCATTATTTCACTTTCTTCTTTGTTATATGTATGGTAAAAGTCCTCACTTAACATCACCAAAAGGTTCTGTGACTTTAAGTGACACAATTTTGCCACAGGTTAATTGATATAAATGAGAGTTAAGTTCCAAAGACGTCTCATCAATATTATAATGAAACATTGAACAAAATGATGTTATTTGAGGACCTGTGATTATATTTTCAAAATGGCAACTCAGTTCCCTTTCTTGAGCTTTCCTCGGAGCCGGGAGGCTCCCGTTGGAGCAGAATCGCCAGCTCTCAAGGAATGTGCAGAGGCAGGAAGGGGTACAACAGAGAATCAGAATGAACCGATTAGTAAAGATTCTTCCTGACTTCCTAGGACCTCCCCCAGCACGTGATAAATCTGTGCCAGTTTAGATTAATATATTAGATTAAGGCTTCCATGGAGGTAAAAACAGAAAACAGATAATCTACGTCGTTTTTATTCCACGTAGACTCTTGTTTCAGGGACAGAGGTCGTATTTCTCGGATCTCTCATCCCCACACTCAGCGGTTCATCCTAAGGAAGTGCCGTTAGGGCTTCGGCTCATGATGGCAGCATAACAGAAGTGCCATTTGCAGAATAAAACATTTTCATGGTTTAAAACTCTGTAAGAATTCAAGTAGTTAATTGTGCTTTCTGTCTAATATTAGAGAGAGAGGAAAGGAGAGAGGGAGAAAGAGAGAGAGAGACATCAGTGGGTTGTCTCCCAAACACGCCCGACCAGGGACCAAGCCAGCAGCCTCAATAAGCGCTCTAACTGGGGATTGAACCCGCGACCTTTTGGTATATGGAATGACGCTAGAACCACCTGCGCTACCTGGCCAGGGCCAATTTGCTTTCATTTTAACAAAATGTATATTTATACATAGAGAAAAAAATCTGGAAGAGTATACAATAGGATGTTAACAGTGGCAATCTTTGGGTTATACGAATATGGAGTAAAAATAATAATGTCAAAAATGTTTGCTTATTTGTATTTTCGAATTGCTTTGTAAAATATAAGGTTATTTTAATTTTAAAAATCTCTTGGAGAAACCTGTCATTTAAAGAAATGTTTTGGAAAGGGGGTAATTACCCCTCAATTGACTTGTTTACTAAAATGCATTTTCATAGGGCAGGGGGTACGTGCTGGATTGGGGCAGCACCTTAAAGTTTGCTGTATCAGCACCTAATTTATAAGCATGTATTTTCTCATCCAAAATATGTAACAATTCACATCACAAGAGCAGAGACAAATGTTTGTTAGTTTTGTGTAAGTCGAGAGCACTCACCGTTCCCGTAAGCCCAGTCATCATTCATGCGGTGGCGCACTTTCTGGTAAATGGCCGACATGGTTTTCATGTTGCTTTTCCTCCACTGGCGCCCCAGGTACTTGGTCTGTATTTTTAGCAGCTTCAGGACGTAAAGTTGCAGCATGGCCTGTTTGACCTTTAGGGCCCGCTTTAAGATTGGAGCAGATTTGAACACCACTAGCATCTGCCCGTTTAAAGAGGGGTGAAAGTGGAGAGATAAAAATCTAGTTACTTGGAATTTCCAACTCATAGACAGATTAAGCTAAACCTGGCTGGCCTCAAATTACCCTGGGGAGCTTTTAGAAAAATCTGCAGTCCGGGCTCTGCTTAGATTTAGTCTTCAAGAACACAGAGGAACCACTCTATTTATATTTCACAATTAAAAGTTTCTAATATTTATAATGCATGATATAAAGTGCAACAAATTTTGCCGACCACACATCTTATTTCCACTATTAGCAGTTTCTTTCTTTTCTTTTTTTAAAAGATTTTATTTATTTATTTTTAGAGTGGGGAAGGGAAGAAGAGAGGGAGAGAAACATCAGTGTGTGGTTGCCTCTAACACCCTGTACTGGTGACCTGGTCTGCAACCCTGGGCACATGCCCTGACTGGGAATTGAACTGGCAACTCTGGTTCTCAGGCTGGCATTTAATACACTGAGCTACACCAGCCAGGGCCACTGTTAGCAGTTTCTTATGTGTCTTCTGAGGGTAATTCTAAGTATGCATTTATTACTTTTATTAACAACAATAGCCAACTACATATCCTGTGATACCGTTCTATACCTTGTTTTTAAAAAGTAATATATCTCACCCTGGCCAGGTAGCTCAAATGGTTAGAGCATTGTTCAAACACCTTGAGGTTGTGGGTTTGATTCCTGGTCAGGGCACATACAAGAATGAATCAATAAATGCATAAATATGTGTAACAACATATTGATATGTGTGTTTCTCTCTCCCTTCTTCTCCCTCTAAAGTCAGTAAATAAATTTTAAAAAGAAACAATTATTTTAAAAAAATACCTTGAAAATTAATTCATATTGGTATAGAGCTGTCTTACTCATTTTAACTGTATAATATGCTAAGGATGTACCATAAGTTATTTAACCAATTGGTACCATATTAATGAGTATTTAGGTCGTTCCCAATTTTCCATAATTAATAACAAACTGAAGTGAATAATCTTAGTCCTGTATCATTTGGGATTCGTGACTATAATCCCAATAACACTGCTAACTTCTACCGGAGCTGCAGTGAGGGAGAGTCCATATTCAGCTCTCTGAAAAGAAATGTAAGTAATTATCTCATATAGAATAAATGTCCAGAATCGGGAGGGGTTAATCATTATGTAGTACCCAGTGTCTATCTATAGAGCCTGCAAAGCAGGAAGTCCACAAATATTAACCGAAGATTTAAAAAATTCAGTCTGACGGACACCTCCATCATCCGAATCCCCACTCACCATGGTTCTGGAATGCTTCCATTTGGTCAGTTTATTGAGCAGCCTCAGAAGGTTGATGCAGGAAAAGAGGTTCCTCCAGCAGAACTGGTTGTTGTCTCCAGCTTCCTGTAATAAGGCGTGTCCATCATTATGTCAACACTTAGAAGGCTTTTATTTACACAGATGCCTGGACATCACTGTTGGTCAGTTTAGAGGAGGCCTTCCATACAAAATGCTACCTCCTGACCATCCTGCTTTTCACACACTGAGGCCTTAAACATGCAATATCTTTAATCTGAAAATACAGAGCTGCCAACCCTGGAAGACTCTGTACGTCGAACAAGAACTGGTTAGAAAGTTGATACAAGAACATAGGAACTTCATTCAAGCAAGCTTTCTTGTGTAGCTTTCTAATTTAGGATCAGAGCAGAGACGATAGAATTCTACCCCCATATACTTTGCACTTATATAAGCTATGCTTGTAACTGCTAGGAGTTATTCTGGTAGATTTCAAACTGTCGGATGGATGTGCTATTCATTATGGCTGGATTTTTAAAATCAACCTCCACCCTCCTTTATCAAACCATATTGCAGTACATCGCTTCAATCGCCGGCACGGAAGAAAAAATGGCAGATGGTTCATTCTAACCAGGTGTTTCTCTTGTATGTTTCTTGATATCTTGTGAGCGCCCAACAGATATAACAGATGGATGTCAGGTTAGAAACAGGTATGTACTCATAGAAACATCATTCAGGGAAAAAATAAAGAGTCCTTATGGATTTGGGGGCCTGTCAACACATACTGGCGACAGAAGCTGTGTAAATCAACGAGTGTGCATGGTGACCAAACCAACATCTTGGAAATTCCTCGTGTCCACACAGCGACAGGAGAATGCAGGAGTAGGAGATGTATAGATGGGAACTGCCGTCTAGTGGATGGAAAATTTTCCCTCTTTTCTCTAATTTGTAGCAAGACAGGAATACATGTAATGTGGACTGAACATCCAAGATTTTCGAGAGTACTAGGTTTAACCCAAGATATAAATAAGACTAAGAGTTTAACAGTTTTAACTTTTTAGAAATATTATTTAGAAAAAAAGTTCTCCTTCCTGTAGTAAATGTTCAGTATTGTGTTTCGAATGAGTCCCAGGAGAACCACCTATTTCTTTTTAAGGGAAACTTCCACGGGAGTTTCCACTCTAGTCCATCAGCTAGTCTGGTTGCTCAAAACAGACCACGTTCTGTCGATGCTACATCTTGTGTGGCTAACAAAGGAGACGGACTTTTAAACATTAATTTTTTTAAAAGAAGCAGAGGAAACAAACAAATATATGGGAGACATAAATGCACTGCATGTGCACTGCATCTCGATGCCTACTATGGTAGCGGCAGGAGAAGCCTTGCGTTCCTTAGCCCCCGGAGAAGAATACTGGAGCAGTGGTATGGCCTTCCAGAAGCAGCACTGGGAGAGGCACCAGGGCACCTGGATTATGGTTTTGCCCTGGCAAATTATTTACCTGTTTCCTATCAGAGGCTGAACTAGATAATCTTTAAGATCCTTTTAGCTCTGACCACCCAATAATTTTGTGATTTACTTCAACTTTCTCCAGCTGGTTTAAAAGTGAAGTCTTGAGTGAAAGTAAACTAATCGCGGCTGTCTTTTCTTTAGAGCTCAGTCTGACCAGTTCCAGGAAGGATGCCCCAGCTCCCTCCTGAAGAGAGTGCCACCTGCCCGGGGCCTTGTGCGCCTTTCTTTCTGATAGTGCCTCCTGACGTCTATCACTAACCCCACTTCTTGCATCACCACATCCTGCCCAGAGTGGGCGCTGCTCAAGCCTTCTCTGCCTTGTTCCAACCCAACAGATCATCGTTTTCCCAGCAGGCCTTCAGCTCCATGGTTGCCATTTCAGATTTGCCAGCCTTGAATGTGTATTCTTTTTGTTTATATTCACTTTAGAAGGGCCACCTTCTTCCTCTCTCTCTTTCTCTCTCTGGCAGGACTCAGCATATTAAGTAAGATGGAAACTTCTGTGGGGAGATATATTTTGCGAACACCAGTACTTGGGCCTCATTTCCTTGTTCCTGGTACTTTACACTATCCAAAGCAAGACCTTTACTCATTTTCAACCAGCAAAAGTTAAAAGAAAACTTGCCCATTTTCCACTCTCACAAAAAAATATTAGTTTGTGTAGACTGTGGATCTAAAGATTTAGTTCAGGGACCAAAACCTACCCTTTCAGAGTATCTCTTAAGGACGAGTAATTCCACTTCTAGGAATCCATCTTAAGGAAATAATCAGAGATGAGATCAAAGATTCATGTACAAGGATGTTCATTTTAAAGTTATACAGAGAAAATTGAAATAATAGAAAACAATTTTTTATCCTTATCCAAGGGCATACTTATTGATTGCAAAGAAACGAAGGGAGGGAAAGAGGGAGAGAAATATAAACATGAGAGAGAGACATCGATCAGTTGCCTCTCATATGCGCTGTGACCGGGACCAAACCCGCAGCCTAGACATGTGCCCTGACTGCAATCTTTTGGTTTATGGGAAGATACCTCAACTGAGCCACACCGGCCAGGGCCAAAACAAGCATTTAAAAAATATTGCTGTATTTTTGCCGTGTATAATGCATGCCCACATCTTTGTGCACATTAAACACAGTATTATTATACCCATACTATGTAATCATTATACCCATGTATAATGCACATCCTTATTTTTCTCTAAAAAACTTGGGCAAAAAGTGTACATTATATACAGCAAAATGTGGTAAGTAGGGGAACATTATGTCTAGCTATTAAAAATTATGTTCTTGCCCTGGCTGATGTGGCTCAGTGGACTGAGCGCTGGGACTGCAAAGCAAAGGGTCACCAGTTCAATTCCTACTCAGGGCACATGCCTGGGTTGTGGGCCAGGTCTCCGTTAGGGGGCGTGTGAGAGGCAACCGCACATTGATGTTTCTGTCCCTCTCTTTTTCCCTCCCATCCCCTCGCTCTAAAAATAGAATCTTTAAAAAAACTATGTTCTCAAAAATATTTAATAAAATTATGTTGTAAATATTTAAATTGTACTATGTAAGATTAAAACAAAGTCCTTACTTTCTGAAATAATATGTATATAATATATACAAGTAAATATATATTGTATATGGTCATTGCAGCAAAACATTAACAGTGGTGCCCTGACTGGTGTGGCTCAGTGGGTTGGGTGCTGTCCCACGGACTGAAAGGTTGCTAGTTCAATTCCAACTGGGGCACGATTAGAGTATTTTAATTTTCTTCCTATTTTTCTATTTTATAGAAAAATTTTTCTATTTTTCTCCAATTTTTCTGCAATAGTATATATCAATTTTATAATCAGACAATAACAAAAACTTAAATGTTATTTAAAAGAAATACTATATACTTTAAAAAAAGCCAGTAAACTTTCTGTTTACAATTAATTCACTGAGCCTGGAAAAGCGATAAATCTTACTCACATAAATATTAATCTTTTCTGAGTAGAGAAGCCATCAGTTTGAAGCCACTACATTGAGCACCTGTGTGGAGTACGCTTGCGAGTTACTTAAGCCCATGTCTGGACTCAGGAAAGTACTTACACTGTAAGTTCACTCACACAGAAACAGTACAAAACAAAACAAAACAAAACAATACAAAACAAACTGTGGTTACCAGATGAAACCACCAGATGCCACTGTTGCCCCACAGAAAGGAAATGGAATACCTAACATGAATGTTTTTTTATTAAGGACAGATAATGCTTTCACCCACTTTTAGTAATAATAAAGGCTTCTCAGAAGCATTAGAATTGTTTTAATAATTTTATCTTTCTATCCCAAAAGATCAATCAGAAGAGATATAGATCTGGTCACAGGAGCTGACTTTATGTTTTGAATTTTAATGCTATCTGTGTACCACTATTTCTCATTCCAGCTCTGAATGGCTCTCCACCCAGGCTCTGCTACATTCACTGTAAAGTTCTGTCAATTACTTACCTTTTATACCCATAAAACAGTAGCCTCATAGTTGTTTTAAAGACTGAGTAACATCATAAACATAAACAGGGTCGGACAACTTATTACCTCTCTCTGCAGGGGTAAGAAGCTCCCCTTGGCAGCTGAGAGCACCTCTATGTGAGATAAGACATCTCTGCCCTGGTGCTCAAAAGGGTGCTGGGCTTAGCGTCTCAGGACATGGGTCCTCTGATTCAGGGTCTGTCATCTATGAAGCATGGACCATAACATGTTAGTCCATCCAGTGGGCATTTCTCATCCTTGAAATAGGGGTTGGGACCAAATGGCTCTCGTGTCCCCTCCAGCCAAAACCCTATGGCTCTACAAAACCTGTACCACAGCAGGGATCATTTTATTTTTTACTTGATAGACTTTGTGATGTAGCATTTCGCAGGTATTAAATTTGGGGACAAAGGGCTGTGTGTGGCACGCACGAGTGCCATCATCCGATCACTCAGCATTCATTGAGCTCCTTCCATATACCAAACATGGTGTTAGATTTTGTTGATATAAAAACAAAGATGAGCCCTGGCTGGTATGGCTCAATTGGATGGAGCATCATCCTATAAACTGAAAGGTCACGGGTTCGATTCCTAGTCAGGACACGTGCCTAGGTTGTGGGCTTGGTCCCTAGTTGGGGTATATACGAGAGGCAACTGATCAATATTTCTCTCTCACGTTGATGTTTCTCTCCTCTCCCTCCCTTCCCCCTCTGGAATCAATAAGCATGTCCTGGGGTGAGGATTTAAAAAAAAAAAAGATGATACTGTCTCTTACTTCAAGGAGTTTTCAGTCAAATAGAGAGATATAGATTATAGTGCAATAGGGTGAGGGTACAGACCGAGGTGTATCTGAGGAGCTGTGGCAATAATTCGGAGGTAAACACTTGATCTTCAATACGCTGTTCGTCAGACAGTTTCATGGAATTATGAGCAACTCTGAGGGACTTATCTGATTTGCCTAGAGCTGTTTCCAGGATGAGGGATTTTCTGGGTCATCCTTCTGTGGCTGTATTGACTTTTGCCTCACGGAGCCCTAGGCACGGTATTTTCTGAAGCCCCCCGCCCCGGGTTTTATAACCCACGTGAAAATGAAAAGTGACTGGCCTGTAGGACAGCAGAAAGACAGAAAATCGTTTGGGATAGTCCAGGAGCGATTCCTCTGTCATTTTGCACCCACGTGCACATCAGTTTCAGTGCCATCATCTCCCTAAGTGTCCTCTCGGTGTTTCTCACCTACCCTCTTCTCTTCTCTACAGAACGCTATGCTGGGCTGTTCCAAATTGTTCTCAGCTGGGTCCGCAGCTCTAACCCCTGCGGCCTCAGTGCTATTGCCTTTATTGACCGGAGACTCCCAAACCAGGGCATTATGAAGCTGGAGAAGAAATGGAAGATCAAGTGCCTGCCTCTAAATCCCCATCTGCTTACCAGACTCTCCGTAGTAAGTTCCGGCAAATCCTGGATGGTACAGCAAGGGTAATCCAGGACCGAGATGCTGCAAGATGCAGAGATAAGGGCAGGCTTTAGGTAAATGGTAATGGCAGGAAACAGCTGTATTTTAAAGGGCAGGAGTTATTTCTCTCCAGCAGGCCCCATCTATTTCTCAGATTGCTTAGTGACCTCAGCTGAAACTGAGGGATTTGGTCCAGGCAACTCCAGCTCCCAGTCTCCTCTCCTCCCAGGCATGAGAGGAACCAACAGAGTTCTTTCATGCCGGCCCCCACCTGGCAGATGAAAAGGGAGCTTAAAGGGAGCCTCTGTATGGCCACCTTTCCCTCTCCTTCTTTAGAGGAACATGTAGACGTGTGAGCATTTGTGTTTCTGTATTAAAGTATACGCTCATATGTATCTGTGAATATAACTGTGCTCCTAGAGGCGCTGTGCAAACTTATTCTACTTAACAAACTGTTGATGTGAGGATGAGATGAAGACTTCTCCTGCACCTCTTTCTGAAATCCAGAAGCTCTAGGGAATGATCACATAAACTATTCCTAAAGAATGTATGAGACGGGCAGCACCCTACAGCAAGGCCAATCCAGCAGCTCAAGAATGGTAATAGCATTTGCCCCCAAAACTGATAGTGGGGGCTGCAAGGGAGCTGGGGCTCTGGTGAATGCAGGGAAGCAGGGGAAGTAAGGCACCACGTGATGACAGGAACGTAGTCACTTCAAATGAGTTTTCTTTCCTCTTCTCCCTTCTTCATGGGTACAATGCAGAATTGAGACCAGGTAATCTCTAAGGCTCTTTCTGATTCAGACATTCCATGAGGTTTTAAACACCCATCTATCTGAACTACTGCAGTTGGAAATAAAAGATGTTGGCAAACCAGGGGCCATAAAGAGGAGTATGGGGTTTCTTGGATCTGTCTGCATTTCCAATCAAAACTTCTATCCAAGCAAAAGGCGACAATTGATTCCACTAGAAATGTTTACCTTTGTACAAGAGACCCACAAAGATAATCTAGGGCACAAAGGGAGGAGAGGAGAGGGCAATGGATCTATCTACAACTTGCTCATCATCTTAATTCCCTCTGCTCCATACTCCCAGGATTGCCAGTTCTATGCTGCTCCATTAGGAGACACATTCTGGGCTGGTTTATCCACTGATCTACCCACCTTGCACTGACAAAGCCCCATGGCAGAATAGGTGCTGGCAACCAAGAAGTGGGGGTGGAAAATCAAAGATGGATTCATTCCAATCTCAGTGAACTGAATTCTAGCCTAGGGGTGCATAATATAAAGTTACAAATTTCTAGCTTATCTGGATTGTCAGTCACGAGGAAACCGTGAATGCAGCTGTGAGTGCTCCAAGTTCCTCGGGGATTACGCAACAGTGAAATGTACTGCAGGTGGGACACAGGAGGCCCATCTCATCCAGGCCAAGGCAAGTGGTATGTAGTCTGGCTGTATCACTTTTCTAACTCCAAGTGATCACAACGGACACATATTGGATTGTTTACTGTCTCCCAATCTCATGCCCGGGTCCAGAAGTGTATTTAGTTCCAGAAGCCCACTTCCCCATCCACAACTGATTGAGCCAGGGGTGGACCTCTGACCCTGGGGATGTGGAACAAGGATTGAAAGCCAATTCAGTCTCTGAATGGCATGGGGCAGAACATGTTTAGCTCCTGTGGGCATATTTCACTGAGTGGCCTGGAAGCAGACACTACTATTTGCAAGTGAGAGGGGACACAGGAGTGAAAGGACAGAGGCTTGGTGTCCTCAGACAGAGCTAGAGGACTTTTTGGGCCCCCTACACTACAGACCAAACCTGCGGCCCAGAGCCACATCCCTATCCTAGGTTCCTCAAGGTGACACACCGCCCATTTCCTTCTAACAAATTACCCACTATGCATGAGCCAGATCAGCTGGTTTGAGTTACTTACCACTAAGAGGAGTGACTGATACACAGGTGCTGTCATGACCCTGTGGCCCTTACCTAGCCCAACCTACACTTTCATTTTCTCTGGTAAGCCAACTCTGGCATGCCTTAGTGTCATTCTGAGGGGGACTGGTGCAGAAGTCTTCTGTAGTTAGGGAAAAAAACACATTCTCCAAAGCTTCCTTCAAATGGGAAAGTTCACATCACTCTCATATATATTCATCTTAACTAATGCTTATAAAAGCTCTATGATACAGTCAGAGGAGGTTATTCTCACGTTAAAGATGAAAATACTGTGGCTCAGAGAAACCAAGTGTCTTACCTGAGATCACACAGCGAGCCAATGGCAGCTCCAGGTCAGGAACCCAGGTCTCACGACTTCACAGGTTCTGTGTCTTACACTACATAAAAGTAAGCTGCCCCTCCCTGGCGGGATTTTGGGCAGCACCGACAGACTGGCAGGGCACATTTCCTAGCCCCTTTCCAGTCACTCTTAGTCATTAGCCCTCTTCTACTTTAGGAACTTTGCCTCTATTAAAGCACTTCTGGTAGACTCTACTGATTAACACGCTTCTAGTCCTCACGGCGGCAGGAAACTGTGACACAAAGATCTGCTCTGTAGCCCCCACCCGAGTCCCCACTCGGCCGGAAGAGTGGGAAGCAATCTGTATTCACAGCAACTGTGATCAGAAAGCAATTTGTGTTTTGATCCTGCCTTTGCTGCTTACTTAATGGGTCTCACTAGCATGTTAATCTTGAGCAAGTCAATTAACTTGAGTTTGTTTCCAAATTGGTAAAATGAGAAATAAAATTTGTAATATCTCTCAGCCCTGCTTTGGAGATTAAATGAAATAACAAATGTAAAATTACTGTAATTAAAAAAAAACTATAAATTGACCTAGCTAAGTAAGGATCTATTGTGTACCTTCAGTTAAAAAGTCTATATAACACTTTATAGTTTACAGCAGTGTAACTGAGCCAGCTTATGATTTATATGAAGATCAGGGCTGGCCAGACAAGCAGGCTGTTTCCTGAGAAGGACCTTTTGGATCCTTCTGCCCCAGGGCTGACATTTCATCATCGGAGTTTCATTACTTTGTTTGAGTCATGCTATTTTCCAGTTTTTAAAAGTTTAAAAATACAAATGTCTTGGTGACAAGGCCCATCAGCTAACACTTCAAGGAAACTGACAGTAACAGCTCTGAGACAGAAGGGACACCAGAACTGACAGGCTCAGAGGCAGTGTAATTTTTCCCATCATCCCAAACTAGCCCTTTGAAATAAAACTGTCCAGAGTCCGTACCTGTTTTTAGCAGTGATGTAGGACAAAATATTTTGATTGAAGAACTTCAGGATCAGTGGAATGCAGTTGGCAAATACCAAATGTTGTGATACATATTCGAACTGAATGAAAAGATCAGAGTGGGAAGGCATGCTTATTTGGGGGAGAAAAGAAGGTCTGTTGAAAAAAAGAGGCAAGTGTAAACCTACTGTCCATTCCTAAAGACCTGCACTGTCCCCCTGTGTTGTCAGCCTTCCTTCCTGGAAGGGGGCGTTTCCCCTCCAGCTGGCCCACCCTGCATGGAGGAGGGCAACCTGCAGTCTGTGTATCCTGCCAACTCCTGACCAAAACCACGAACTGTAAACAAGCCAGAAAGTCCCATTCCAGACAGATGGAACTGCTGTGAGATTTGCTTTAAAGCTCAAGAGGATAGGAAGGCTCCCCGAAGGCGTTGTCTTCCATACCAAGCCTCTGGCTCACAGTATTTCAGCTGTGATTGATATAGCAGGGACAGGTGCCATTTACCCCAGCACCTGCTGGCATCACTCACTCAGTCAGGATGGAGATGACGCAGAGTAACCAAATGAACCACTGGAATGTGGCCTTCAGTGCTAGTCTGTATGGTTCCCTGTACTTAGAATATCAGTGTTTTAATGAAAGAATCAACAAGAGCCCTTCGGTCAACAGATAACTGCTCTGAAAATATGTCCAACAGCTCTTTGATGAGCTAACCACCAGAGCACAGGGGCCCATTTTGTGTTCTTGAATCTGGATGGGGTTTGTGTCTAGAGACCTGGTGGAGGCAGTATCATGAAGTTCTGTCACCTGGACTTTGATTTTGCCCACGATACACTGAGGAGCATCAGACGCAATTTTCTTCAGATCCCGAACCTAGACTGCTGGCACAGTGCAGAAGCCAAGTTGGAAAAGCAGAAAATTGTGCAGTCTTAAATCCCCTAGTTCTTCCTGATATCAAGAAGTAGCCGTGGCAGCAAGCTACGCTGCCCTCTCCCCCTAGGTGTGTGGGTAGAGGTGGGGAGGCAGTTGGTGCTGCCCACTTCTCTCTTCTGCTGAAACATTTTCTCCCTGGCAGCTGACCCAGGTTTTTTTCTTTCCAAAGCCCTAGATGGAGGAGCCAATACATATCCTCTATCAGGTGACGGAAAACTTTTCCGTTTGGGATGTGTCTGTAGCCCTGTCCAGATTCACTGACACTGACGCACTCTGGCAGGGCCCATCGAGCCACCCACCTGTCCGGTTGTCCACCACATACCGCCCACCAAGAGGAGCAGACAGAAACACACCTGCACTTCTCCGTTTTCTATTAGGGACACCATCTCCCACCCACCCCAACTTCTCCTAGTCCTGCTGCTGTTCATTAGCAGGAGTGTGAGCTCACAGGACACACTAACACACCCAAAGATGTCTGTGAGTGCACTAAAGTGAAGCACCCTGGTTGTACAGCCAAATCTGCCTTCGGACAGAGACCCTGCAGGGGCCTCCCTGCACCCTGAGGGCCTGCTCTTCCACCAGCGAGCTCGGTTTTGACTTCGTGGGAGGAAAATAGAGCTTCTGTGCAGGAATGAGAAGCCTCCTCTCTTCTCCATGGTCTCACTACAGCGACCGTACCATTCACTGCTCCCGTCTTCCCTGTACCGTGGCAATGCCTACCCAGCCAAGTCCAAACTCCTTAGCATGGCAGCAATGCCTCCATGGGGAAGCAGATGACAACTTCTTCACATTAGTTTCCTCCTCTATAAACCAGGGATAAAATAAGACCTATCTCAGAGGGCTGAGAGAATTCAATGAGATCTCACCCAAGCTGAACGGAGCACTGGGCACATCTCAGGCACTCAATAATTGTGTGATCGCATGTTAGGATGAGCCCCGTTCTTCGTTCCGCCCTCATGTGTCACCCACCAGGCCTCCCCACTTGCACCCACCCCAGGCAGAGCTCCAGCAACACTTGCTCAGTTTCCGAAGGTACACTGATCTCTCCCTTCAGGACTTTCACAAGTTAGCTTTTCTGCTTGAAATGCTTCCTGACCTCCTTCCTTGACAAGTCCCACGTTGTGGCTAACATCTGTTCAGGACTCAGGTTAGAAGTCTCTTCACCTCGGGCTAGATTAGGTATTTCCATATCAGCAAGTGCTTACCTGCTCACAGGATTTGTCACTCTGTAACTGGATATGTACGTGTCTGTACCCTTTACAAGACTTCTAAGCCTGTAAGGGCCAGAACTGTGCCTTATTCAGGATTATATCTCAAATGTTAGAAAAGTGCTCCACACAGAGAAAACTATGCTCTACATGTCCCCCACCCCCATTTTTGTAGAGTACTTGAATCATGTCTTCCATGGTTTCTTTCTTTCTTTTTTTAATCCTCATCTTAGGATGTTTTTAAAATTGATTTTGGAGAGGGAAGAGGAGGGAGCAGAGAGAGAGAAACACTAATGTGAGAGAGAAACATTGATCCATTGCCTCTGTACGCATCCCGACAGAGGATGGAACTCACAACTTCTGGTGTCCAGGACGATGCTCCAAGCAACTGAGCAACCTGGCCAGGGCCATCTTCCATTGTTTCAAAGCTGGCTGGGCATATTCCCAAGAAGCTAGAGATTTCTACCCACAACCCTCAGATAATGTTCAAAGGACATAGACACCTACACCTTTCTAGGACCGTTCCCCACACCCCATACCCTACCCCCACCCCAAGCTTGTGCAACCGGTATCTGGATTCCTTGAATGGGACAAAGAAAAGGCTCAGCTGGACTAAAGGGCCCTCGTGTCCCTTCTTTGGGAGACAGGACCTGGAGAACACCTGAGACCTGTGGAGAAGCGCTCCCAGCTGCTCACCTGGTAGATGTGGTTCAGTTTGAAGTGTTTGAGGAGTAGCAGGAGCAGGGCAGAGATACTCTTTACAATGATCTCCTTGTGCCTGTTCACATCGATGCCCAGCTTCATGCTCTGGAGAACAGTGATGCTACAATGGGGACGGGACAGGTCAGTGCAGGGGGTGGCTTGAGAGAGCTCTACATAGACCCAGGTACTTGGGTCAGATGCAATGCACACAAGAGCTAGCACTTGGGAAACCTGAACTTCTGTGCTAGGGAAACCTTCAGAGTTCCCACCTACAAGTCTGGAGAAAAGCCCTCTGATCTCTGTTTCTCTCTCCCCTTGGCAAGCTCACCCCTTTGCAGTGTCTACCCACATACCCGTGCAGCCAGTCACTGGCCCTGGTATTGCCTCCAGACTCATTTCTGAGCTAAAATGAGCACAGTGGAGAGCACTGCAGTGTAAAGGGGCTACTGATGGGGGAAGGGAGACCTCTTTGAAGAAAATCCCTGTGTTAACAAGGTGGGGTGGAGACTAGAGACCCTGCAGACAGGATAGCCAGTATTCAGCAACTGCCCCAGTTGAAGCACTCACGGCATCTCCTCGGGCAGAACGTCGGCCAGGATATTGATAGAGTCTGTCTTAGCCTTGGAGGTGGGGGCTGCAGCCAGCAGAATCTTAAGCAGAGCAATCTGGAAAGTAGAAAAATGAGGAAACAATCCATCCTTGCCCATCCCGTTCAACAAGGCTATTCTTTGACATCTCAACAGTCCTATGAGAAGTGTTTTAAAACCCTCCTCTAAGTCTTTCCCTCAGTGACCAAACCTCCCCAGAGGGGCAATCACGTGCTCAGTCCTCAGAGGCCTGCTGAGAGGCTGAGGAGCCAGTAGAGAGCTTATAGGCTGCTCTGCTGCAAGACTGCTCTTTCCAAAGAGGCAGATGGAAGAAGCAAAGTGAGAGGGGCAATGCCTAGAAATAAAGTGGGAGGTGTAAGTAAGATCTCACTTCCTCCACCCTTTTCCTTCCTCTAACCCTGACCATCGGCATCCTTACCATTCTCAGCCTGAGTCTGTCTAAGACATGACAGACCAGAGCAGACCTCAGAGGGACTAGGGCCCTCAATACACCCTGCGCAGACCCCTTCTTAATCTCCACCCCTCCAAAAAAAGGACTTGGGAGTACCACCAAGTCCTCCTTCCTCTGGCAGGGGCTCTGAGGAAAGCTCAGAATTCTAATGTGCTAGAGAAAGCCTCACCCGAGGGTGAAAGCTCAAAAAACAAGCTAAAACGATGGACATCTCAGCTTGAAATGGCTCCAGCTGTCTGTTCCCGGAGCCAAGGAGGGCAGCGTTGGCCCCACCATCTCCTTACCATGTACTGGGGGAGGCTGTACAGCATGCCCTGGTAGAGGATTTCACATGGCGTCTCTGGCACCACCTCTTCCCCCTATGGCAGGAAACACGCAGTTTGTCCGGGCCGTTTTCCAGTTGACCAAAGACTATGTTTTCTTGGTTGCAAAGGGTGGCATGAAAAAAGCACCAAGCTGGGAGTCAGATCCAGGTTCCCATCCTGGCTGTGTTAGTGTCCCATTACATAACCTTGGGTCAGTTACTTTCCCTCTCTGCGTCCTGTTTCCTCTTCTACAGATCAGTCGGCTGGCTGGTCTGCAGGACCTCTGACGGCCCTTCCAGCCCTAATAATCTGCAGTTCTGGTTCTCACATTATCTGGAGTCAGTCCAGAATTATTCCTCCCGTGTTGGGGAAGATCTGGATCAGGTGTTGGAACTCTCAGCTAGGAGATGGATGTCTCAGACACATATGGACTCAACTCAGGCTGCAGGTGTGCCTCGGACACTTGGAACAGACAGCCCACTCGGAGGCACTTCCACGGTGTCAGTCTGAGGCCGTCTGCGTGTGCTGAAATGCTCTGAAGCAGGAAGGAGAGGGAGGTGCCTCAACAGAGAGGGCTGATAAGGGAGTTGGGCAACCTATGGTCTTGGAGAGGCAGGAAGGAGTGTTGGCTGGTAAGCTTTTGGGTATAAGTATTTTCTTTACTTCCCCAGTAGCTCCTACAATATCCCTTTCTCCTTTCTGACCCATTCCTTCATGTACAACTCTCTTCATCCTTTTGATGACCCCATCTAAGCCTTTTATCAGAGTAGGGAGACAGAGACCTCCAGTGCTCAAGAGGCTACTCAGGCTGCTGCCATCTTTGGCCAGTGCAGTCCTTCCTCACCCAAGGTCCCTCTCTTATAGGACAGGGGTCACTGCCATGAGAACCTGAGGTAGGGAGAAGTCACTAAGCCCCTTTCATCCCATACAACTCAGCTACTGCTTAAATAAGCAAAAGTCTTAAATGGGCCTTCAGTAAAGCCTGGCGATCCTGCCTGCTTGCATTCCAGCTCTCCAAAAGGCCCATTTCACACCTCCTCCCTGTTCTCAAACCAATCCCCTCGCCTCACAGCCCCTCAACAGATGCTAACCCTGCCTCATACTTCGTGGAGAAAACAGGAGCAGCCAGACAGGCATACCCTCATCTCCGAATCGCCAAATCACTGGGGACTCTCCACCTTCCTTCTTGGCAGGAAGGATCAGCCACCTGTGCTCCTATCAAAGGCCAACACGCTCTTCTCCTTTGTCAAGTGCAATCATTCTGTAATTATCCTCTTTGTCCCAGATCATCTGTTTTAGGACATAAATGGGCTCTAGACCACCTAGCTATAACACACTTCCCCGTGACCCCACCTTCAGCTACCGTACCTTTTCTACTCTCTTTGCAACAAAACTTCTGTGTTATCTGTGTCAGTCTGTGTGATACTGTCCACCCCCTTTCATTACATTCCTTTTTCAACACAGCAACCGGGCTTCTAGCCCCACCACTTCGTTTGGGGTGGTTCTTTTCAAGGTCATCGAGTTTCTTCATGTTGCCAAATCCAATGGGCACTTTGTTCTTATCATGCTCCATTTATCAGCTGCATCTGACACAGATGATCACTTGTTTCTTCTTGACTTTCTTTTCTTAGCTTTTGTAGTATCACAGTGTCCTGGATTCCCTCCCACCTCCCTGAGTGTGTTTCTTACCCTTTTTGCTGGTGCCTTTCCCGACCCATCCCACCTTAAACGTTGCTGTGCCCCAGGGCTGTGTTCTGGGTCCCTTCCTCTTCTCTATCTCTGCTCCCTCCCTGGGTTATCGCTAGTTCTGTTGTCATTTTAACACTGTCCATAACTCAACAGCTCCCAGATGTGTTTCTCTAAGCCAGGCCTCTCTCTAGAACCCTGGACCCATATATCTAATTGCTTGGCCGCTCTGCATGGGTGGCTAATGGATATTTAAAACTTACTATGACCAAAATAGAACTTTTGATAAAAGAGAACTTCCTGCTAGGCAAATGGTAATTATTCTAGATTCCCCTTTTTGCATCTCTATCCACGTCCAATTGAGCTATAACTCTTGTCAGCTACCCCTCCAAAATACAACCCAAATTTTCCTGAGCTCCACAATTGCTATTCCATTGTAAGTCACCATCATCTCTCACCTTGCCTACTGTGAGTTTCCTAACGAATCCCCACAACTCCCACTATTTCTTGATCCAGTTTCTACACAGAAGCTAATGGTTTTTAAAACAATGAGTTAGCTCTGCCTGGTGTGGGTCAGTGGACTGAGTGCTGGCCTGTGAAGCAGGGGGTCACTGGTTCAATTCCTAGTCAGGGCACATACATGCCTGGGTTGCAGGCAGGGCCCCCAGTAGAAGGCACACAAGAGGCAACCAACATTGATGTTTTTCTCCCTCTCTCTCTCCATTCTCCTCCAAAAATAAATAAATAAAATATTTAAAAAAAAAAGATAAATCAGATGATATCACTCCCCTATTTAAAACCTCCAAAGACCGCCAAATGGTTCCCACTACAAAGCGGAGCGCGGCGGGGACAGAGAAACGACACTGACGCCGGTCGCCCCGTCCTGGTAAACAACTAAGCCTTCGCTCCGCTCACTTAACAGCACGAATAGACCAAAAATGGCTCTAGGACAACTCAGAGCCCCAGAACCGATAGACCTAAGTGATGAAGAAATAGCCAGTCTTTCAGATGCACAGTTCAAAACACTGGTTATAAAGATCCTTACAGAACTGGTGGATTTTAGTCACAAATTAGAGAAACATATGGAAGCTAAATTAATTGAAATGAATGCTGATACAAAAGATACCAATAGTAATGGAAAGAAAATTGGGATTCAAATCAAGGGAGAGGACCAGACGGAAGAAAAAAATGATCAAACAGAAAGGAATGAAGAAATAAGAATTCAGAAAAATGAAGAGAAGCTTAGGAACCTCCAGGACATCTTTAAACGTTCCAACATCCGAATTATAGGGGTACCAGAAGGGGGAAAGGCACAACCACCAGTTGAAAAATTATTTGAACAAATAATAAAGGAGAATTTCCCCAAGATGGCAAAGGAAATAGACTTCCGAGAAATCCAGGAAGCTCAGAGAGTCCCAAAGAAGTTGGACCCAAGAAGGAACACACCAAGGCACATCATAATTATATTAGCCAAGATTAAAATGAAGGAGAGAATCCTAGAGGCAGCAAGAGCTAAGGGGACAGTCACCTACAAAGGAGTTCCCATCAGACTGTCAGCTGATTTCTCAAAAGAGACCTTACAGGCAAGAAGGGGCTGGACAGAGGTATTCCAAGTCATGAAAACCAAAGATCTACAACCAAGATTGCTCTACCCAGCAAAACTTTCATTTAGAATGGAAGGACAGATAAAGTGCTTCTCAGATAAGACCAAATTCAAGGAGTTCATCATCACCAAGCCCTTACTATATGAAATGTTAAAGGGACTTACCTAAGAAAAAGAAGATAAAAAAGATGAACAGTGAAAGGACAGCAAACTCACAGTTATTAAGAACCACACCTAAAACAAAAGCAAACTAAGAGGATAGCTAGATCAGGAGCAGAACCATAGAAATGAAGATCTCAGGGGGAAACAAAGGGGAGTGGGGGGGGGGGGGGGGAGAAATGAAAGGGGAGGTGAAAGTGGAATTTCTTTGGGGGGCGGGGGGGGAGAGAGTGACAAAAATAAAATAAAACCTCCAAAGGCATCTCTTATACTGTGAGTCAACTTTAAGCTCCCTGTCTTTGCTTATAGGTCTTGCATAAAGGTGGTTCAGACCACATCTCTCATTGCCTCTCCTATAAGCCCGCACCCCTCAGTGGGCCATACCACACGAACAGCTTTTGTTCACTACCTCTAATACTCTGAGCTTGCTCTCACCTTGTTAAGGCTGTTTCCCCTGCTTAGAATGCTCTTTCCCCTGGCCACTGCTTCTTATACCTCATATCTTGGCTTAACTGTCACCTTCTGGGAAGTCTACCTACCTTAGACTGCTGCATGCCTCTATTATGTAATTCTATTTAAATTCTCTTCACTATATCACCTGTTCTCCGATAGTCTTGTTTACTTAACTATCTTTTATCTTTAACATGTAAAGTCGGGGACCTTGTCTCACCTGGCACACACCAGGAGCCCCAAAACATGCACACATACTCTGTGACAGATTTCCCTTTGCCCTGTTCCTGTGCAGGACCCCCTTAACTCACCAGAGACATGGGGCACTTCTCCAGCTCCTCCTCATTCTTGATCTGAACATCTGCGATGGAGATGTATTTGTGCTGGGGAAGACAAGGCACCAAGGGGCTGAGGGCCTGAACCCCATGTGGACCAGCCTCTTGCTTAACTTCTTCAGTGACAAGGAAATGTTCTGTTTATGGCTCTGTCATCCAGAATAGGCCATGAACTCTTTGGAAACAGGAGTCTAATTCACCTCTTCATCATTAACACTGAGCAACGTGCTTCATATACAGTATGTCTGTTTGTTCCATGCTTTTCATTTGTTGATGAGCAGCAAACACCTAAGGATTTACCTTCAACCGAAATGCAAGGGGGAGCTGGGACCAGGCCCTTGGCCCTGGATCACGGCTCTGCAGGTTCTGCTGCACGTGTATGTGTATATGGAGTGATGATGATGGGATAGCAAAGGATTCAAGGTCTGTGCAAGAGGAGACTACTCTTAATCTTTGTGCTCACACACAGTTTAGATGTGGAGTAGTAGCCTGCTGCTCAGTCCTGGGCCTTTGGAAGTTAGTGGTCCTAAGGGAGAGAGAAGCGAGAGGAAAGGAAGTGAGGAATGGGAAGAGGGAGAGAAAGGAGCAAGGAGGAAAAAGGAATGAGAAGAAGAAAGAATAACCTTTTCATCTATCTGAATGTAGGAAACTGACAAGTTGGGAGAGACGCAATTTCTCTCTCTCTGGCCAAAATGCTTCCAGGAAAAGTAGAACAATAGATTCAGAATGTGTCTGGCAGAAGAGTCCCACCCAGAACCAGGACCCCACTAATCAAACTTGCCTTGATGGCTCCTTAAGCCTGAAGACTGAGTGCTCACCTGCTTTAGGGTCTTCACACTCTCATGGATGGGCCTGGGTAACCCAACCAAGGTTTCTGTGTCCCTATGAAATGCAAGACACACCAGGTTACAAGCTTCAAATGTATAGAGAACTACTGAGAGCCCCTGAAGGCACGGATTTCATGCCACTTTCAGCATCTGGTCCCCAAGATCTTTCTTTGCAAGCTTCCAGGTGCCTCATCATTGTTTTCTGACACAGAAGGAATGGTGCACGCAAGTGTCCCTGAAATTGGGATTTTTGTATGTATGAGTCTTTTGAGGACTCACTTTGTTTGGGGCTGGTAGGTTCCTACTTAAAAGGACATGTAACCCAAGACACTTTTGAGGGTAAAACACCAGTAACAATGCCTTCTTAGGTTTTGTAGAGGAGAGTGGGAAGGATTCATGAGGGTGAGAGGGTAAGGAAGACTGGATCTATTCTGACCGCGTCTCTTCTTCATAGAACTCTGGCCCATCAGAGCAGGAAGGGCCCCCAGGAACCATGTAATCCAACACTCTTTGAAGAAATTGAAGCCTAAGAGGGAAATGACTTGTCCCTGAAGGCCTTACACTGGCTAACAGCATACAAGTCCTTCTAGGAAACCAGAAGGAAACATTTTGACAGGAAGAACCCAAAGTAGTTACTGGGAGCTGGCTACGGCCTAGCAGCTCTAGGTTGCACTGTGACTACTGGGCAAAATCTCTCATCCCCAGCCACCTACTCCTCTGGCCCCCTAAGAACCACTCTGCAGCCATTCTGACCATCTGTCACTTACTGCCCCAGAGTGAATCCGATGAACTTGTTCCTGCTCAGCTCCAAGAAGTGCTCAATGTCCTTCTGTCTGAGAGGACGGTTGGAGAGACGAACCCCAACGAAGGGAAGAAAAGCAAACCTTGAGAGAGGGAAGCTTTCTGAGCCCCTACCTCTCCAAATGGGGGATTATAACAGTGGGGGAAGAAAGCAGCCAACTGAGAGAACTTCAAATCTAGGGGTTCTGACTCCCAGCCCTGCATCGCATACATACTGAATACATAATCCACTCCACCCTGGGTCTTCAGTGACTAAAACCTCAAAGCTTGGGGTCCCTGGTTCTGTCAAACCTACCTGACCTTGGGGGCCCAGGGTAGGCCCTTGGGAAAAGCCACCCGCTCAGCCGAGAGGGGTGCCTGCGAGGGTGGAGGCGGCACGAGAGGGTCCTGCTCCAGCAGGTCTAACTCTCCATCCAAGGTTCGCTCTCCATCGCCAGCAGACTCCTCTTCCTCCTCTGTGGCCGGTTCCTCAGTCTTAAAGAGATCTCTTTCGTTGTAAATGTCCAGGCTGTCTTGCTTAGTGAGGAGTTGCTGGGGATGGGGGTGAGGGGAAGGTATGCAGAGTCTCACCCCGGACATCCTTGTCTGAGGACAACCCTTTCCCACAGGCTGTTAGACTTCAGGGAACATGGAATGAGAACCCCACTTTTGTGAGAACAGCCCCTTCCCACCTTGATCCTACTGCCCCCACCGGCCCCAGGACAAACAGCTTTCAGACAGCCATGCCACAGAGAGGGCATGGAACACAGATAATCCCAAAGTCATAGTAACTTAGCTTTCAGAAAGAATGAGGCTCCCCCCAGCCCCCACCCCAGCACTTTCCTTCCTAATTATGCTCTCTCTGCTTAGGTGAACATTTAATTAGTTTGCCTTCTGTGGGCATACACCAGCTGGCTAGCTGAGGAAGAAGAGGACAGAAGCTTGCTGCTAGGCAGAGGGAAGTGAGTTTGGAATTTTAAATCTTGTCACAAAAAGAAAAAGGTTGGACAGAAATAGGCCAAAAAGTTAACAGTCCCTGCCTCTGGTTGTTAAGATTGTGGGTGATTTTTCCTCTCTTCTTCTCATTTTATATTTGTGCCTAGTTTTCTATAATGAGAAAGCATTACTTTATAAAACAAAAAAAATACAGGTTTAAAAAAAATCTCACTGATGATGATGTAGGCTAGCTAACTGAGTGTGCCTGGCTGGCCCTGGCGCCTGTAGGTGGTGAACCCAGGCAAGTGAGGCAGGTGAGCGCGTGGGAGCACGGTCAGGTCTCAGTGTGACTCATCCTGGCCTTTCCAGAGATGCAGATCATACCCGGAACCCTAACCTTTCATCTCCCAAATGTAAGCCTCTTGTTCCAAGGCCAGACAAGAAAATGGTCAACTCAGAGTAAACCTTCTTGCTGCGAAGTAAATGGAGAAGTGCCTCTCCCTCAGGCACAGGGAGTTTCTGGGAGACCTCTTGAGGTGCCTGGGTCCCAATCCCCAAGATTATACCACAACCAAAGGCTTGTTCAGGATGCTAAGGACCTCCAGGCACTGAGGTCCAGGCCAGTGACCGTGGAGCGAGACACGGGCCTATAATGTGATATCACAATGTTACATCATGACAGCCCAGGAATCGGTCAGGGCTAGGGGACAGAACCCAAAGGACAGACTCCAGGGTTTCAGGTTGGGCACAGGGCTAAGGAGGGGCACAATGAGCTTGGTCATTCACTGCCCTTTCCCACCACATCTGGAGCAGCTTAGAATCTCGATTTCCAGATAGCTAGTGTCACGATGCGACTGTTTGCTTTAGTCCATACCCTTCGAGAACCACGACGGCCTCGCAACTTGGAGGGTGGGGGTGCCAGCTGAGACTCCCCCAGGTCGAGAGTGTAAGAAGGCGGGGAGGCAGCACGCATGCTCTTCACTACTTGGATGCTGTCCTCAGCCAGCGGCGGCAGGCCCAATTCTGCGCGCTTCTGTACTTTGAGAGCCTGTAGGTGCTCAAATCCACCGAGGGTAAACTGAGGCGTAAACAGGAAAGGGGCAGGGAAGAGAAAGGGAGGGAAGGAGTCACAGAGAGCAAGGTCAGGTAGGCACAGATGGAGAGGAACAGCCACAGCCTTCAGTCCCCTCACACCCCAACCTTAGTTGGGCAGTAATAAAACAGGAAGGGGCAAACATGGTCACTATCCCAGTCTGAGGGATATCCTGACTTAGGGGTCGGGATAAAGCATCGTTTACTGACCTAGGGCTGGGAGTATCACCAGAAACTAAGAAAGGGACTAACTCCTAGGGGTCTCCGCTGAAAAAAGAGGGAAATTTATCTCCCTCTTTAATGAACACATACAGATACTAAACCCCTGGTCACTCAATCTCCTCTGTAGTCACAGGGGGAACCGCCCTGCAGTTGGGTAACTTTACCAGGCAGTTCCCCCCTAGGATGCCTGCCCATGACCGTATGTTGTTCAGCTAGTCCTGTGGCGTGGGAGCCAGAGATGAAGGATCTGGTTGGATAATTAGTAACAAAACTACAAGCATACACTTATAAGGACTTCATTTTTTAAAAGCAAATGCTGTATTTATCTGGATGGAGGGCAGAGGGCAGGCACTAGTCCCCACAATTTATAGCTACAGAAACTGAGGCACAGGGAGCTGCCCAAGGTAGGCAGTATGAGCAGAGGCGAGATCTCCCAATTCTTAGCCAGTGCTCTCGGCATAAAACACAGGTTCTATCAAGGCAAGACGCTGTGATACCCCAACTCATAGAGTGGCATCTCTTGTCAGTCCAACAGAAATGGATAATCTGCTTGATGCAGAACATCTGATTTCTCCAGGACAGCCCGTTGCCCCTCCAACAGCTGCCCTAGTCTTCTGCCTAGCTCCTGCCTGCAGAATCGGAATGGAAAACACAGAGGTAGGAGAGGGCACTGCTGCTCTCTAAGATGGGAGTGAGGAGAATGTGACACTCACCATGACCACCTTCCAGAGCAGAAGCAGGACCTTCTTTATGGGAAAGTGGGCAGCCAGGCCGCTGCAGAACTTGGTAACCATGGAGAAAAGCAGAAGGGCAAAAGGCTCCTCATTGTGCATGGAGAAACCTGGAGGGTGTGGAGAGGCGAGGGGGAAAGTGAGCACGCTGCACCCGAAAGCCAGCTCCTCTAACCCTGATTCTGGTGCACTCGCCGCCCCTGAAGGATCTGAGTACCTGGTCCTGAGGTGAGGCTGTGGAGGTAAGATGGCTTGGCTCCCAAAGCTTAGAGTAGATTCCAAAGTAAAAGTAACAGTAATAATGTTGCTTTTCTGGCTGAAGGACTCAATGCATTTGGTGCATCACAACTCACTTTCTCACAACACTGGATATAGTTTAAAAATCCCATCAGCTTTCCTATCTTATGACTGATGACAACAACGGATGTCAACCTCTCTGATGATACCAACTTACATTGGAGCAGAGTTCAGTTTGCAAGGTGACTCAACTCATGTTCTCATGGGGGATTCATGGGAAAATGAATGGGAGAGGGGTGCTTATCCCCATTTACGATCAAGGAAATTAAGGCACAGAGAAGACATGTCATTGGTCCTGGCTCACAGGCACAGGGGCAATCAAAGCAGGCCCTGTTGCCTGCTGTGCCATATTTCTGCCCTAAAAGAAAGAATGTTAATTTGGAAAAAAGAAAAAAGAAAGGCTGCCTGCCTCCCCTATTCAGATGCTATTCTTCCACCACTGGGAATCACTGGGGACCCCATCCCTACCCTTCCCTACATGCCACTTACTTAATTCCGTGCGGAAGGTCTCCCGGGCAGTCCTCCACCTGTAGGAGTCTGTTTCTCGCTCTAGGCGGATATTTTCCACCATCAGGTACATGACACTCAGGAGAACCCTGGAGTTATAGAAGGGTCACAAGAGGTGCCCAAGGCAGCTCCTAGCCTACAGTCAGAAGGGCAAAGAATAACCCGTTGCTAGCCATCCCTTGTATCCATGCCACGGCCAGCCCCACTCACCGGAGCTCTGTGCTATCAGCAATGGAGATGGCTGGTTTCCGAAGAGCACTGCTACAGGCCTGGCTGTTGCTTCCATGGGAAGGAGGGAAGAATGAGAACCCATAAGGGCTCTTTATTCACTGTGTTCCCACTGATCATGCACACAAACACCAGTACCTGCCACTCCCTGGCTATGTAGCTATAAAGAAATTGGTTTAAGGTGCAGGAACGCATAAGATTCCCCCACCACCTGGGCAAACCCTTATCTGTGGTGAGGATGGGCGAGGGCAAGGCCTGTGATACTCACTCCTCTTGGAATCCCCACTGTGGCTGGTGCTGTGCCGGGTACAAAATGGATGCTAAACAACACTTGATGAATAATAAACAGATTTCACCCTACCTAAAACTCCTGGGTGGTAGACATGAGACAAAACGAGGGTTCAATACGGTCATAGGAGCAGATAGGGCCTCCTCTAGAGCTATAATCCATGAGGGAAAGAACCGGGCACACAAAAGGAACTGGTCCTATACCTCTTGGGTCATGTTCTCAGCCAGAAGAGTTTTCTTTGTGGATTCCAGAGTTAGGCTGAGCCGAGAAGGTGTTTGGGTAAAAGGGCAACCCACCCAAAATAGGCCCCTGAAGCCCAGGATTGAAGCTGTAAGTGGGGCAGAAGCAGCCAAGGAGTCCAACCTCAGAGATGAGGACAGAATATCAGTGAGCATGGCTGAACGGAGGGGAACTGTCAATGTGAGCTTCGGACTGAGTGTGAATAGACCCGGCTCTGCATAGAGGTCTCTACATTAAGGAAATCAGCACAGGACACGAGGTACCCTCCAAGGAAAGGGGTTGTCTAGGGCAGCCCTCCCTACGGCTTCTCACTCGATTTCCATGTGGAGTAGCTCCAAGAAGGCCGAGAAGGTCCCCATCTGATAGAGCAGGAAGCAGTTGTACCTGGACCAGTGTAGCACATCAACCTCTGAATCACACTCCCCAAACGTTCCTGAAAGACCAGACAGTGCCATAGGGGCTGAGTGGGACAGTGTACCCCAGTTCTTTCCACCCTGTCCCGAAATCTTAGAGCCATATTCCAATACCCTGCCCAACAATGAGGCTGACAAGTATAGGACCAGGGACTCCTAGAACTTCCTGGAAAAAGGCAGGGGAGAGGAAGGGCAGACTTCAGGATTAGGTCCAATGTGCTCATCAATGGCCTATCTTAAGTTTGAGTTCCCTGAGAAATAGATCCAGAGATGAAAATTCAAGTACAAGTAGTTGACTTAGGAGTTGATCCCTGAAATCATCAGTAGAGAAGGGAAGTGAGATAGGGAAGAGAAGGCAGCCAAAAGCTCAGTCCCAGGAAAACTCTGGGAAACAGTGTCAAACACACCACTCAGAACCATCCCACCTAAGAGGATCCCACCCAAGAGGGGTGAGGCGGTCAGACTATTCACCCGCTAACCCCATCATGATGAGTGCTGCTGGACTAGGGCAGCGCATTCATTCCTTAGCGCTCCTGGCTGCCCTGTGTGGGGGCAGAGAAAGCCCTTGAGCAAAAAGATAAAAGTACTGGCACCCGAAATTTGGTCATAGCACCAGACCCAATAGATATGGGTGGTTACTGCCTTGTTTGCTGTAGTCTTCCCTTCATACCATGTCTACTCTCTTTCCTCTCTATTTATGACTTTTATAGTTTTTTAGCTCCCAACTAGTCAGTTCTGCCAAAAGGCCCCTTACTTATAATCTAAGGGTTTATTTTTACTATTCCAGCTCAGCTATCTCATTTCTCTTTCCAACACCTGGTAACAGTTCTCTTCTGGAAAGTTGTCCTCAATTAATCTCTTTGAGTTCTGATAATCTCCAAATTACAGCATCCACTCCTGCTGCTATTTTGGCTTGAACCTTCTAAATGTCAACGAGAAACAACACAGAGGGTCCACGTGTGCATCCGAGGCACGCCCCCGCCTTCCCTCAGGGCCGGGGCCAGGCCACTGATGATAAAGCCTCCACGCTTAGCTGCAGCTGGTAGTACATCGTCAGCTCTGGACACACTGACCCTCTTGCTAGTCTCCAAATACAATTATAGCCCAGGTTAAGGAAAAGAGAACTCGTAAGAAATCCTGATATGCCTGGTAAGATAAAGCTCAATTCCAAGGGATCCAAAAGAGTACCTACTACAATGTCCACATCTTCTTCACAAGCACCACGTTATTTCTAGCACAGGAAAGATCTGCCCTTGAAAGGTGGGGACCTTGACCTGGCTGGGTAGCCAAGGTAGTTAGGGTGTTGTCCCAATACGCCAAGATCGAGGGTTCAATCCCCAATCAGGGCACACAGAAAAATCAACCAATAAATGCATACATAAGTGGAATAACAAATAGAGGTTTCTCTCTCACCTTTCCTCTCTCTCTCAAAATCAATAAATAAAAATTAAAAAAAAAAAAAAGGAAAGGCGGGGACCTTGCTTTCCCAGCATAGCTTGCTTCATCCTACTCCTGACAGCACCATTTCTCTCGCTAATCTCCACCCCTCTAAAGTCGGCGAAGGAGTTGGCAAAGGTGGTCACTCACCTTGGGCCAGGTAGAGAACAGCCCGGGCTACCTTCAGTCGCCGCTCCCTACTGACCACCTCCAGCCGGTCCAGGAGTCCCATCACATAGGCCTTCTGGGCATCTTCCTCCAACTCCAGCCACTCCTTGCCCTGCACTGGGGACAGAAGGGCGTATGGATCTGGTGCCAGCTGCTGCCTCCCCTTCCTGGAAAAGCTTCCGATAGCATATCCAGCCCCCTACAGAGTTTCCTCTTTAAAAGCTTTCTTTATTTAGCTGAGAAAAATAAGAATGCGAAAAGTAAAAGACTCATGAAGTTCTTGCCTGAACCCATTCTGCAGCCTCATCTTCTTCCACATCCCCTCTGTCTACATGCAGCCTGTATTGTCCTCTCTGCCTTTCTTCAAGACGTTCCCTCTGTCTTCCTATGTAGGCAATTTCTGCTCATCATTACAGATCAGATACAAAATTACCTCTTTCCCACTAGTGCTCCAGCCAGAAGCTCTGTCCCTGAAGACACTTTACTTGTCTTATGACACTTACCATTTCCTCCTGGTCTGAGCTAGTTTTGTGATGTACCTATCTCCCCTTTGTTATCTAACCATAATCTCTTTGAAGACACACAAATTCACCTTCATCCCTGCCCCCTGCACCTCTCAAAAAACAAGTACTCACCACACCACTGTTGAATTGAAAAGTGAATTGCCACTGAGCAAGTAAGGGAACAGTGTGGACACATGAAATTATTATTAGATGCCATTCAGAGTGGAGAACGGGTTGAACATGAAGGTCAAAGATTAAGCACAGGGTTCTACCAGGCCACCAGTGCAGCCCCACCTCTTTATCTCTCTGCCCTCTTGGCCCTTTACATCAGGGAAAGGGACCTAGCTTAGGCTTCTCTTGCTTCCATTCCATGGCCTTTCCACTGGAGATATAGGAAACTCTGTCTCATATGCAAGAAGGGATAAAGAAGTTGTATGGTTATGAAGAGGATGAAGAAGGATCATACATTGTTTTCAGTTTTTTCTAGATCAGGCAGAGGTATCACGGGAAAAAAAAGCAGGTCTCTATGAATAAGGGTCTGGGATCACCTTGAGTCTTGAAATCTTCTTCAAAGCACCTCCTGTTGGTGGTGAATTCCAGGTTTTCAGTGTAGCTGTACAATTCTGTGGCAGGAAAGATAGGACAGAGTCACAAACACTCCATAGACCCTTACAGACGTGGTCTGGAGTAGAGAGAGTGGCATGAAAGAGGTAAAACTCCCAATACATTCCTGTGTCCAGTTCAATCCAGAGCCAGCTTCCTCCCTTTTGGAGCAGTTAAAAATAGCCACTTGTGTCCCTGGGTGATTAAACCATCAAACCTGTCGTCCTCCTGCCAGCTGGCTGCTACAGCAGAGAAGGCAGGCTTCGACATTTGGTGAGGGCCAGGAGGAGGGCTGGAGCTGAGAGGGCTTAATGTTATCACTTCTGTTTCACAGGGCAACCCCAGTCAGCCCGGATTGGGACTACCCTGTCTCTAGGGAAGAGGAGGGCAACAGAACTCCTAAAATGTAAAGGTAAGATCTTTGTGCTGTTCAAGGAGCCAGTGTGCGAGCGGGAGAATATGTGTTAGATGGCTTTGGGGTTGGAGCCAGTCCCTTCCCTCCCTGCTGAGTTTCCTCGAAGGGTATAGAAGTTTAGGCCCACAGCCACCCAGGCAGAGATAGCATCGAACCGTGTAGAGCAGCTCCAGTTACCAAAGGGCTACCTGTACCCAGGTGAGTCTAACTTCGTTGACAGTAGTCTCTCAGTACAAAATGCAGGGCACTGCTGAGAAATAAAAACGGCCTTTCCTTTCCTACTGCACACACACACATGCACACACACACTCCAGACAATTACACCAGTACCCTCATCCTACAGAGGACAAAGGACTGTAGTTGAGAAATGAAATCGGTGGTAAGACAGGTTTCCTCAAAGCCCTGTTCCCTGAGACCCTTGCTGGAAATTTAACTAGGTCAGATAATTCACAAGGAGAAATTCACTTATGTTTAGCCAGTTGTCTAATGGTGAGGAACGCCTTGTCTGGGAGTCTTTTTGAGTCCTGAGTTCCAGAATCCTGGAGTGACCAGAAACAAGTCCCATCTCTGAATCTTATAAAATTTAGAGTCATTATTGAGTAGTGTGTGTGTGTGTGTATGTATATATATTTCTCACAAACCTAGTCAGAGAAGAAAGGACTCTCTGAGGTACTTTGTTTTTGTTTTTAAATTTTTGATCATGAACTTCCATATACGGATAAATATACATGATCTATAAAACACCTGTTTATCTTCTACCCAGATTAAACAAATAGTAACATTTGGCAACTTTGCTTCAGACATCTGAAGTTCCCGCTTCCTCTCCAGTCTATCTTAGGCCTCTCTCTAATGTAGCTGCTACAATGAAATTGGTGTGTATGCTTCACATGCCTATTTTTATTCTTTGTACTACATATGTATGTGCTGAAAGCAATATGATATCATTCTGTTTTAAATTTTTTTTAAATCCAAGCAGTATCTATCATATTGTATACATTATTTTTTCTTTGAAATCTTTTTTATTATGTGTCTTTCAATAGATTTTTACAAGAACAACAGCATGGTGAACATGCCCATTTACTTAATTGACACTGCTCTCAAACGAGTGTGCAACCGGCATTCCTAGGAACATCTTTTAGACTCACATGTTGAAGCAGTTTGACACTTGTATGAATTATTTTGTCACTGTTTCTTTTTCTCCCTCAGCATTATGATTTTTTTTTAAAGATTTTTATTTATTTATCTTAAGAGGGGAAGAGAAGGAGAGAGGGAGAGAAATATCAATGTATGGTTGCTTCTCGATGTCCCCTGCTGGGAACTGGCACCTGTTAGGAACTGGCCTGCAACCCAGGCATGTGCCCTGACTGGGAATCAAACCGCGATCCTTTGGTTCACAGGCCCACGCTCAATCCACTGAGCTACACCAGCCAGGGCTCAACATTATGTTTTTAATCTTCATTGACATTGAAATATATTAATATAGACCAATTATTTTAATGGCCATATATCGATATACTACAGTTTATCCATTCCTTCCTAAGTTGTTTTCCATTTTCCACAATGGCTGCAACAAACATTTCTGCACATGCCTTCTTGAGCCCAAGTGTTTTTTTAAAGTATATATCCAGATGGTTGGGTCACACTATGTGCGCATGTTCCGTTTCGCTAGATGTGACCAAACTGCTTTGTAATTGTTCACTCTGCTTTCTCATGCCAAGCAGTGTATAAAAGTACTCATTTCTCTGCACCTGCACCGACCCCAGGCTTTTAAGTTTTGCAATTTGATTAATGTAAAATAATATCACATTACTTTAATTTGCTTTTCCTCACTTAAAAATGTAGTTGAACATCTTTTCATATATTTATTGACCATCTGGTTTTCTATTTTATGAATTCCTATTCATATTCTTTGACCACTTCTCTACTGGCTTGTTCTCTCCTCTCCCTCTTCTCTTCTCTCCCACCCCGCATATGCACATTCTGGATTCTAATCCTTTGTTGGTTATTAAACTTAGCTCTCTATTTCTGTCACTCATCACAAAAATTTATTCCCTGTACTTATTCACAAGAAAATTTTTAAAAAACATTTGTCTCTTTTCTTCAAAAAAAGTCGTGTCTCAAAAGTGTCACTTCCATGTGACAGAATAGTTAACTTTCACACCATCTCCACCCAAAGCTCATTTATTAATAACTGGCATTCGCAGTACGTGTAACATGGAGTTCCTTAATGTGAGGAGATCGCATTTAGCCTAAGCTGAAAATCCAGACAGAAGCAGCCTAGCACAGCTCCACAAGGATGGCTGTAGGAGACATGCCCAGCCTTCCCAGCTGGCCAGTTGTCTGTAGTTTTTCTTCAGACATTGCTGAGATTTATTTAACGGGGAGGTGTTGGGGGAAGGCAGCAAGATGAAGGTAGAGGAGAAAAGGAGAGAGACAGGATGGGACAGAGAAGGAGAGGGTGGCAGAAAGAAGGAGGCGTGCAGAAATATGGGCGAATATGGGAAGAGACAGAGAGGAGAAATAGGAGAAGGTGGAGAGAAAATAGATTCCAGAGTGCACCAGAAGAGAATAAAGAAGGGTGAGCAGAAAAGGATGACAGAATGAAAGAACAGAGAATAGCATGGCTGAGGGAAAATTCAGAGGGAAATGTGAAAGCGAACACGGAGATATTTGCTACTGGAGAGTGGAGAGAAGAGGGAGTATAGAGAACAGCCTTTGTTCTATAGCTCCCTACTGAGAACAAACGAACCACCAAGGGAGATGACAAGCCCCTTCCTTCTCCCCCTAGGTCATCTTCCACTCTCTACAGACTCATCCACCTCATACCTGACAACTCTGCTGCGTGCCCATCCGCATCTCCATATTCAAATTCCAGAGTGGGGCAGTCCACAGAGCCCTGTAATGGAGAAATCTTTGTGGTAATTTGGAGAAAGAGTTGACAAAAGATTATACCCTCATTTCATCCTCTTCCTCTCTTGAAGGCCAAGGTTAGATCAGGGCGGGCAGCTAGAAAAGTCCCATTTGTGCCTCTCACCAAAGAGGAGTCCTCCTACAAGCCAAAATTGAGGCTCAGTGCAGGGTGGGGCTGAAGATTCCTATACAGAGTCAGAAACTCTGGGTAAAGGGCCAGGATTGTAAACGGATATGAAAGCTACAATCTGTGCCCGTATCTGACCTACATAAACACAGATCGGAAGAGCATCTAGTTGAAATGAGATGGACAAAAACAAGAGGTGAACTGCATTCTCCTTCAGCTCTGTCATTAACCCACTGTATCATTTTGGGTGAATCTCATTCTGTGGATCTTAGTTCTTCATCTGTAAGAATAAGACCTTCAGCTCTAATGTCCCACAACTTGAGGATTATCAAAGAAGGTAGCGTTTCCACTTGCAGTTGTATTAAAGACGAGATTTCCTATGATGTGTATGTACCCATTATTTTAACATAATCACTAAACTCTTTAAGCATTTTCAGGTATTTCCTACCAGTATATACTAACATATATGAATTTTAAAAATTTTGAATCTCGGCTCTTTGGCATACTCTGTCATACACTGTGTGATCTTGAACAAATTATTTAACCTCTCAATGTGATATAAAAAATATATTTGGTCTTTGCCCCACTCTCCTCCCCTTTCTGGCACAGAACTCCTAAAACCTCTGGAATTTCCTGAGTGATAGGAGTGTCTGTTTATTCATAAAGAGCCCTGTCAACCATACTTGAGTTTAAGCTAACGAGGTGACTCACTTGAGCCCAAAGAGAGTTTGAAAAGAGGGGCTGGCCCTACCTCCAGGGAGGGAGGAGAGCAGAGACCGAGTTCAGTTACAAGGCCAGAGGTTTAATCCGCCAAGCCTAGGTAATGAAACTCCACATAAAAATCATGAAACAACAGCTTTGGGCATACCAATGTGCTAGGATGGCAATGCCCCCAAGAGGGCACGGAAGCTCTGTACCACCCCGCTCCCCTGCCGTATTCTATGGCCCTCTTTATCTGGCTGTTCCTGAGTTGTATCCTGCATATAATAAAGTTGTAATCGTAAGTTTAGCACTTTTCCGAGTTCTGTGAGTCCTTCTAGTGAGTGATCAAACCTGAGGAGGGTGTTATGGTAAGCCCTGAATTTGTTGTTGTCTAGGCCAAAGTGTAGATAGCCTGGGGACCGCATTTGTGGCTGGTGTCTGAAGTGGGCGTCAGTATTGTGGCCCTGAGCCCTTAATGTGTGAGGACTAAGCTAACTACTGGTATTGTCAGAACTAAATTGAACTGGTGTCAGGGAATTGTTGCAAAACGATATGTTCAGTCTTTTAATCTGTAAACTCAGGATAGTTCATAGTGCCATTATAAGGACTAAATGAGTTAACGTGGGAAAAATACACATCACCTAGCACTTGGTAGAACTATGTAGGTGGTTTATTCTACTTAGAATTTTAATGTTATATAAGATTTTTCTCATATTACTATAACAGTTAAGTGGACAGATATATATTGGTTTACTTAACCAGTTCTGTACTGTGAACATTTAAATTGTTTTTAGTTTTTCTTTACTTGTAGCATGAAGCTGTAATACACTTACAATTTTTCTCATATTTAGCATCTTTCCTAAGGATAAATTTTTATTAACAAATCGGTGCATCAACTTTATAAATATTTGTATGACTCTTTGTACATGACAAGTTGTCTTCCAAAACCACTTTATCAATTTACACTGCCAACAAGGCAAGTCATGTTGAACTGCACTAAGCAAGAATTTTTCCTATAACTTCTCTATTACAGAGACAAGGGGGGAGAAAAAGAGAGGGTGGGGAATGACATAAGATTGTTGTTTTATTCTGATAATATAGAGACTTAAAAATATCTTTAAAAAATATATTTTAAAAAGAAAGAACAGTGTAATAGCCCCCAAATGGAAGGACTCATTAAAAGCATGGTTCTTCAAACATTTTTGGCTATAAGTAAACTTTACATTCCGTCCTAACATACACACACACACACACACACACACACATGAAATCAAAGTTTAGCAAAATATAGTTACCATTACTATATGTGATACACATACAGTAATGTTTTCTACTATTCTATTAAAAATATATATATATAGGTTTCAACTCACAGGTCAACCCTTACAGTTTGAAAAACACTTGTTTTAAATTGCCTACATCCTTTAATGCATTGAACTATATTTTATGAAAAACTCATTTCAATGCCCTGAATTTTCCTCGTTTTGCCACAAACTTTGTCAAGGACTCTGGGAACCAATTAAACCAGGAGATGTGGCTGAAAGAGGCCTGAGGTGAATCCTTTGGTAGATTAAGAATCTTTTTATTAAGCAAACTATTATTATCTAGCCTCGTTTTTTAGGTTGGGAAGTTCATACCTAAAAGCCATTGGGAGAGGGTGGGTCAACAGTGTCCCTATGAACAACGATGTACACAGGAGGCTATCTTGACTTGTGCCAAGTAATTCTCTTTCAGTGACTCTTTAGAACCCCTAGAGAGAAAAGAAAACCTTTTCTCCTGAAGACAACCTTCCACAGGAAAGCAAAACGGGGGAGGGAAAGAAAAGCAGATCTGAGCTGGTACCTGGGTGTTGTGGAAATGGGGGTATACCGACAGGTAGAAGCAGCTCTCCTGCCGCAGTGGAAGGTAGAGGAAAGCTAATCTTTCCAGCCAGTCTTTTGGCAGGCAATGAAGCCAGACAGCGAGGATCACTGCAGTTGCTCATTTCCAAGCAGGAAAAGTGCAGCTGCAGACAATCTGGAGGTAAACTGCGGTGCAGGTGGAAAGCTCTGAGTTTCTGGATACTGAACATACCAGCAAAGATAAAGTACCGGGTTGGCCAGAAAGTTCCTTTAGTTTTTTTCCATAAAATAAAAGACACATTTTTCATTTTCACCAATAACTTTATTGATTTGTATTTTGAGTATGTTGGCTATCTCCCATTATTGCCCTCTAGTGGGTAGAGGCCAGGGGTTGCTGGTAAACATCTTCTAATGTACAAGACAGCCCCACAGAAAAGAATTATTTGGCAAAAATGTCAACAGTACCAAGAAACTTCACAAACCACTTTTGACAGTTTGATCAGTAACAGCACCTTCTCCATACCCTGCACAAATCCTTTTTTGCATTTCAGTTGCATGGTTACCTTTCTTGAAATAATAAAGCATAATACACCAAAAATGTTGCATGTTTTTCCATCTTCAATATTAAAATCGCTGCCCCCAAATTCACCTATTTTGATATGGTTTAAAAAAATACATGCTGATATGACAGCTGTCAAAACACAATCTAACAAAATTGTTTCAAAAGACAACTAGGCACTACTGGAGTCATCATACGGAGAAAAAAATAAATGAACTTTCTGGCCAACCCAATACTATCAGAGCCTTTTCCTGAAGGAAGATTGACAGGTAGGGACAAGACATCCAACATTAGAAGGAATTTTAATTCCCTCCAAGAACATATCATTCTGAAATTATTTTATTTATTAGGATATTATCTCTCTCCACTCCCACTAGAATGTTAGCTTCATAGGGCAAGGATGTTATCTTGTTCACGGCTGTATTCTTAGCACCTAAAATAGTGCTGGGTGTATAGAATGACTACCTACCTCCTCTTCTGCTCCCCAAAAACACATTTGAGTAATAACAATGTCTCTATGGGGGAGGAAGCAAAGGGTGCCCTAAAAGACCAGATTGGCACTTAAGCAGTGGGGAAGATGATGCGGTGAATAGAACCCTGAAAGGCGGTGTGATCTGGGATGAGTCTTTTCACCTCCTCTACTTCTCTTTTAAAAAATGGGATCTTTCTGTATCAAGAAGAAAAGCAAACATGAAATCCTTTTGGAAACTGTGAGATACTATTCAAATGGGAAGCCAAGGACCTGGCCTCCAGTACCAGCTCTGTGCCTTAATGATGATGATATACAGGACTAAGAGCTACTCTGAACTGACCCATTACATGCACTGTATGAAACATTTTACATTCGGTCACCTCACTTTGACTTTATTACAGCCTTCTGAGGTAGACAGTGTTAACCTCATTTTACAAATGAGGAAACTGGAGCTCCTAGAGGTTTGGCAATTTGCCAAAGTCGCAGAGCCCTGGATGCAAAAGCTGGGCTGGCTGGCTCCGAAGCTTGGTGCTCCCGGCCACTATGCCAGATGTATGATCTTGGGTAAGTTACTTCTGTAAAAGAAATAGCTAAACCCGGATGATCTCTACAGATGCTTCTACACCTGACATTTTGTGATCTATTCTCCTGGTCCCCGCTCAGATCCAATTTTACTCTGGGCTAGTTGATAAGAGACTGGCTGGAGGAGGAAAGTGGGGGAGTGACGATAATCCAATCCTTTCATCCCCCTGGTTAGGGATTTTTGTTTTGTTTTTTAGGACAGGAAGCAACCCAAACAAACATTCACACTCCTGTGTGGGTTTGTATCCTGGGCCAGTTCCATCTACTCACTCCTGTACTGCCCCACCTGAATCCTGTCTTATTAACCCTTCCAAGAACTCCCTAAAGAGCCTGCCAGCACACCCGGGGGAAGGGAAGGCACAGCTGGATGGGCTCCGGGAGCCTTAGGCTGGCAGGGCGGCTGCCCACCCCCCCACCCCCCGCACGCCCGCTCCTCTTTACTGCGGCGGAACTCAGGTCTCCCGCCCCTCACGCCAGTCGCTCAGCCTCTCCGCGCCAGTTTGCTGCTAAACCGAAGATACGAATTCCCACTTCTCGGAGCTGCAGAGATTAGTGAGATAAATATTTGAAAACTATCAGGTACGTTCGAGGTCGCCCTACATCTGCCGCTGCTGAGGCCAGAGAGCTACAAAGCCCCAACCTGCTCACGGCAGGAGACGGGTGGAGAGGGATCCCGGGCAGCGGACTCCAGAGTGCAGACTGCGGCGGACCCCGCGGAGCCCGCAGGAAGGGGCGGCTCAGGGCGCGCTGGAGCAGGCGGGCCTCGGGGTGGGGGAAAGGGACAGGGGCAAACCACTTCAGCCACAGCTTCCTGTCCCCGAGTGTCTCCCAGCTCCAAATGAAGCTCTCGGGCTGCTCACCTCCGACTCCCGCCGCTGGCTTTTGAACGCTTCCCGGCCCTTAGGCGACGCCGGCTTCCCTTTGCCGCCTCCGCCGTTGCCGTTGCCATTGGCGGTCGGGCTCCCGGCCCCCGGCGCCACGGGGTCCTCCATGCGGCTCTGGTCAGCGGCTCCCCTCAGCTGCTCAGAGCTCTTTGCCCAAGGCGACCCCGCCACCCCGCGCTGGCAGCCAGGCCCCACCCCCTCCACAGCTATTGGCTGAGGCTGTTTACCGCAGCCCCGCCCCGCGACACGATTGGCTGTTCGACCTCTTGGAGCGGGACTTAGAAGAGGTGGGGGCTCCTCCAGGGGATCTTTCCCTCCCCCTGTCTTCCCCCCCGCCCAGTCCTGCGGCGTTGCTGATAGCCGTAGACTCCTGGATTGTTTCCCCATTACTGGGTCTCTGCACTTACCCCTTCCCAAATAGCGACCTTTCGGGGAGCTCTAGTCTCCGCCTCCTGCTCCACTGCAGTCTCCGTTTCCCCCATTACCACAGACCTCTGCCCCCAAATCCCGGTTCCTGCACACGTCCCAAATCCCGCTTCCGTCGCAGGGAAGGGATGGCACCGCCGGGTGGCCAGGCGCACCGCAGGAAACGAGGGACTCGTCCTGTTAGCTGAGATGTCTGAAGAGAACTCCTGCCGCTCGGAGTGAGGACTTAGCTGGGAGAATAAGGTTTAAGGGGCGGGGCATTTTCACTTCACTGAAATTGCTGATGCTTCTCAGGGCTGCCCCTGGTCATCTTTCTTTGCTGAAGTGGGGCACCTTCCTTACGTTGTGATACAGGGAGTTAAAAATGGAGAGCAAGCCCTGCTCTCACCCAGTCTTTTGCTTCATTCTTCCAAGATCCTTCCTGGGGCAAAGGGGGCTGTGTGGCTTGCCCACTCTGGAATTTATCTAAAAAGCCGTAAATGGGTGGGCAGTTTGGGTTGGTAATAAGCGACCTGAGGGGAATGGATGGAGCAAATGGGTGGAGTTGCGGAACTGCCACTTTTTTCCCCAGGCATTGCACCAGACACTTTCCAGGTATATCACACTCTCTCTGATCGGTTGTTTTCACGAATCCAGTATTACTGATGAGGAAATCAGGACTCATAAGAGATCAGCCTAGATCCAAAATCCTTTCCACTATATCCCAAAGGGGCCTGAAGGAGTTTTTCCCCTTCTTATGTCTTAGGGACCCTTTCTTCACTCTTTCCCTCACGTTTTCCTCTGCTAGTTAGCAGGCGACAGGTCAAGGCAGAGTTGAGGGAGTGAGCTCTCCTTGGAGCTTTCTGAGTTCCTTTCTCTCCCCACCACCGTCTCCTTATTGTACCTTCTCATCTCTACCTCCCACCCTATGCTAGAAGCTCCAGAGTAGGACCAAATTTTATTCATTTTTGTATGCCTCATTTATGTGTACTTTAAAAATTATTTATGTTTTTAAAATTATTTTTAGAGAGTAGGGAGGAAGAGAGGGAAACATCAACGCGTGGTTGCCTCTCGCGCGCCCCCTACTGGAGACTTTGGCCTGCAATCCAGGTTATGTGCCCTAGACTGGGAATCAAACTGGCAACCCAAGGGTCAGAGGAGGGCACTCATTCCAGTGAGCCACACCAGCCAGGGCTCATTTATGTATGTTTAACACAGGGGTTCTTTGACTTAAAAGTTATTTGTTGTGAGGAGGGCCTATCTTGTGCATTATAGGATGTTTAGCAGAATCCCTGGCCTTTCCTCACTAGCCGCCAATAGTGCTCTCCCCCTAGGGTGACAACCAAAATGTCTCCAGATATAACAAAATGTCCCCAGAGAGGCAAAATCTGGGGTTGAGACCCAATGGTTAACAGAACTGAACTAATATGAATTTCCAAGAAAGTCCTTGGCTCAAGGCCTAAACTATTTGATTTTCTGAATCCTTTTCAGGGTATAATTTGTTAAACTATTAAGGAATCATACTCGGCTTTGAAATGCACAACCTACGCATAGCTCATCACTGCCACAGCACAGCCCATTAGGGCTTCTTAATAAAAGAATGAATTATTCTACCTTCCCTCTTCCCAATACCTCTCCTCCCAAGCAGTCAGAGCTCTAGGACAGGCCCAGAACTTTGTGTTCTCTTTTGTGAGCCTAGTCAATCAGCAGGATCCCCAGCTGTGGTGGCAGACAGGAGTGGCCGAGGTGTGTTCATTTTCAGCCTATCCCTAGGGCAAACGGAGCAGAGTGATCTTCAGTTGGAAGCAGGACTGAGATCAGCTCTCAAGTCCCCTCTGGCCTGTAGGTAAAACTTTTTGCTGAGCCCAGAGCTCCACCTGACTTTACTTTCAGAAAAGGGGTTTGAAAGATGGGTATTACGGAGACTTCAAAGAATTAACATGAGAAGAGACCTCAATCCATTACCTTTTCCACAACCTTTTACAAGAAGACAGTAAAGATCAGCCATCTCTTTCTGACCATTATTAGGTCCAGACTTTCAGAGCTTGTCATGAGTAGGAAGCTATCTGCTAATAACGCCTGGAAGAACAAGAAACCAAATTACCTGACAACTCTGAGACTAGAGGCCATGGAATTGGCAAACACTCAAGTTCTTTTAGTTTACTTGTCAATAAAGAAGTGACAGCTGTCAATACCGTTGACCACAGTGGTGCCCAAAACTTGGAGCTAATCAGGGGCTGGTCCACAAACTTTTCCATCTTGCAGAGATGGCTCCTGCACCGAGTTATTTTTAAACCTACACTACCACACTTGCTTGTCCCCAAATCCAGGTTTCCTGAGGCTACTGGCAGAGGGTTGGATATATAAATAGGTATATCACAAGGATGAAACATACCCTTTTCCCATATAAGCACTTCACTTTAATCCATGGAGGTCAGATATGTGATTAAATAGGTAACACGACACTGAAAACACTTACAAATAAAATGTAGGAAGTCTTAAAATACCAAGTTTTGGGGGATATCAGGCAGTCTGAATAAAATAGTAGATAAAGAACATTCTCCTCTCCCCATCAAAGGCACGTGTGGGTGTAATGAGAAAAATATCTTGCATTCACAATGTAGAACTAGTTTAGGTTACCAACTAAAGAAGCTGGCTATCAGAAAGCTGCTCAAAAACGCCTTACTCTACTGGTAGTTGAGAAGGAACGGGCAGTTGGACTCACCCTCCGGTTAACTGATTTAGTCAGGCAAAATCTGCCTTAGAGACGAATCTTTGCTAGATCACTTTCTTCCCTGTGGCTGGATGTCGTCAGGCCCTAAATATTGGGGTCCTTAAGTCCCAAAACATGGGATGCCAGCGAGCTTTTGTGTTCTCCAGCTCAGGGTAGTACACCGGGGGCTCAGAAAACCTAGACTGAAGCTTTAGTTTCTCTGTCTTAACCTACCTACACTTCTCAACTCCCCAGGATGGCGGTTCTGAGAAAGCAGGATATTCATACATGTAATGGGGGGGCAGAGGATATTAATTAGTGGAATGACCCACCACGGGACATGGGACTTAAGGCTAAGAACATGCAACATGACAGTTGGTAGCTGCGTCAGTTTGGCGCAGCCTTGCCCTCCAGCAGGCTCTTTAGCCTGTTGCCCAGAAACCGCTCTTATCTCTGAATTCGTAGTTCACAGAAGCAGGGAATACTCTCGAGACAGGAATCCACTTTAAGAATATTTTATTTATCTTTTGAGATTACATGTTCATTATTGCTGATCTAATACAATCACTTAGACATTAAGATTTCCAAGAGCCTCTCAGTAATGGTGATCCTTAGAGGTTTTATTTCCTTTCAGTAAGATGACAACGAGGACTAGATGATTATTTTTATATATATGTATGTATATAGAGTTTAGAACTTGTCCACATATAATTTGCTGGTGTTGCTATTTTCTTTCCATGATTTTCCTTTATTAAAAAGAGCTTAATGCAACAATGCATTCTGATTTCTTTTAAAACTGTGACAAAGTTAATTTTGAGAAAACCATAGGAGCAGCGATTTCAGATCTGTTCGGAGAAAAGCCAAGCAGCAAAAAACCTTCGCAGGAGCACGTGGCCACAGGGAGCAGTGCTCAGATGGGAGGACAGGATGAGGAGGGAGGAGGGGCAGAGGGAAGGTAGACCAGATACTTTTTTCTTTTTTGAGAAAAAGAAAACAATATTTACATTAAGAAGGCAAAAAAAAAGACCTTGAAAACTAGCACAAACTCATCACAGGGAAAATGGTAAGAATCCCCACAGGCCAAGGCCACGTACAGAGAGAGCTAGCCTTCTTTCCCACGCTTCCACATACCTAGGATGCATCTAAGGTGGGAGCTTGAGGGAAGAAGACACATTTGCTCCGATTGCAAGGGTAGAGGGAATAATGACCAAATTCCAACACTAGGGTAGAGACCAAATTCTCAGGAGGCTTGGATCTCCTTCTTAATGGCTGATCGACACAGGATCTCCAGAGAGAAAGGAAGAGAAGTCATCTGAAATTCAGGCAAATACCTCACTAAGTATGGGCAGCAACACTAGCAACCTAACCTAGAAGCCCAGTGTAGCTCCTTTTTCATTTGGACTAGGTCTCCTCACTAGAGCAAGGCAGGGCGTGTTTTGTCAGGATCAGTACACAGTAAGCTCTACAGAGAGCCAGGCTTTGCTGAGAAACAGCAGGTTATGATTTTTGGCCTAAGAACATTAATAGGCTAGAGTCCAGACATCTGCCTCATGGAATATTATCTGGATATAAGGTATAAAGAATTCAATCTTTTGCACAAGGGGTCCAATTAATATGAACATGAGGACTGGGTAGGCAAATGAAAAAATTAAATGGTCTAGTGGAATTTTAGCATTTATGATGTGTATGAAAGAATATAGCCATGTACATGGCCTTTTCCCAGTACTTGCTAAGACATATAGCCTCTGATGAACCACATTACATGGGCTGAGCATACATAGTATTTAATGAGGCAAACAGCCATTTACCTAAGGTCCACCTCCATACCTCCAAAAGGAAGATCACTTCCAGACCAGCTCCAAGGGTATATGTGAAGACAAGGTAAGTTGGAGAAGGTGGGGCTTGGGGAAGAAAGTTCAAGTGAGAAGGTTACAGTGATCCTTGGTGGTCTGGTATTTTCTTGAGTCACCTTGGTCTTGACACTTTGAGGCAAACCATGATAGGGGAAAAAAATGGAAAAACAAACTTGAGGTG